ATATGGCAGAAGAGGGTCCCGCAAATGACAGAGGGCAAGGTCTCACACGCGAAAGAAGGAGGGTCTCGCACATGACACATTGCAAGGTCTCACAGATCTAACAGGGTCTCGCTTATGACAGAAGGCAGGGTCTCACACACGAAAGAAGGAAGGGTCTCACAGATGACAGATTGCAAGTCTCACAGATCTAACAGGATCTCGCAGGACAGAAGCCTAGTAGGTAGGGTCTTTCAGAAGGCAGCGTCTCACAGCAGCTGGAAGGGTCGGAATAGGGCAGATTTCCGACAAACGTTCGACAACATTAACGGCGAGGAAAACGCAATTAACGGGGCGAGCAGGACCACCACCCCCTCCTGTCCACCCCCACCCCCTTCCACCCGCTTCCACGCCCCCTTAACACCCTCCCCAACCCCTTCCCTTCTCCCTTAATCCCTCCCACCCCTTCCTCCGACAAACGTTCGACATCATTAACGGGGCGAGGAAAACGCAATTAACGGGGCGAGCAGGACCACCCCCCCTCCTGTCCACCCCCACCCCCTTCCACCTCCTTCCACACCCCCTTAACACCCTCCCCAACCCCTTCCATTCTCCCTTAATCCCTCCCACCCCCTCCTCCGACAAACGTTCGACAACATTAACGGGGCGAGGAAAACGCAATTAACGGGGCGAGCAAGACTTCCCTCCCTCAGCACACCCCCTCCTGTCCACCCCCGCCCCCCCACCCCCCTCCACACCCCCTTAACACTTTGCCCAACCCCTTCCATTCTCCTTAACCCCTCCCCTTCCCACCCCCACCACCTCCACCACCACCAACCCCCCCACCCACCTCCCCACACACCCCATAATCCTTCCCAAACCCCTCCCATTAGATGTTTTCCAGGGTTGCCAGGAAAAACATGGAAGGCACATGATTATTTGGTAAAAACAAGAGAAAAACATAAGAATCACGGAAAAAAAACATTTTGCTTTCCTATGCTTCCTTTGCAAATAAGATGCTTTCTTTCAGATGTGGGACCCTGCCTCCTGTGAGACCCTGCCTTCCCCTCCGTGAGACCTTGCCATCTGTGAAACCATGCTGCACCCAGACTTCTGCAAGATGCTTTTTTTGGCGAGAAATTGCTATGACGCCCTGCCTTCTCTGATGCCTTCCCTTCTGGCCTGTTTACGACCTTTATTTGAATTTGCTTGCCCAGTGAGTGAGGCCTTGTCATGCGAGACCCTGTTAGATCTGTGAGACCCTGCAATCTGTCATGTGCGAGACCCCTCCTTCTTTCGTGTGTGACACCCTGCCTTCTGTCATATGCGAGACCCTCTTCTGCCATATGTGAGACCCTACCTTTTGTCACATGTCCGACCTTGCTTTCTCTCACATGTGAAGTTTTGCCTTTTGTCCTATGCGCGACCCTGCCTTCTATGAGACCCAGCCTTCTTTCACATGTTGGGCCTTGCCTTCAGTCAGGCCCTGCAGTCTGTGAGAGCCTGCGTTTCTGTGAGGCCTTCCCTCCTGTGCCTTCTGTGAGACCTTGCCTTTGTTCATAATGTTAGACCCTCTGTGAGACCTTGCATTCTGTGAGACCTTGCATTCTGTGAGGCCCTGCCTTCTGTGAGGACCTGCCTCTGTGAGAGCTATAGGCCTTCATCCAACATGTGAGACCTTGCGTCTGTGTGACTATGCCTTTGTTTCAGATGTAAAAACGTGCCTTATGTGAGTCCCTGCTATGAGTGACACACCTTGCTTTCTGTGAGGCTTTGCCCTCTGTGAGACTTCGCCTTCCGTGAGACCTTGGCTTCTGTGAGGCCTTGCCTTCTGTGAGACTCTGCCTTTGTTTAATGGTCTCTGTCTTCTGTGAAGCCCTGCCTTTCTGTGAGACCCTCTGTGAGATCTTGCCCTTCTGCGAGGCCCTGGCTTCTGGGAGGCATTGCTTTCTGTGAGACTCTGGCTTCTGTGAAGCTTTGCCTTCTGTGAGACCCTTCCTTCTCTGAGACCTTGCTTTCTGTGAGACCTTGCATTCTGTGAGGCCCTGCCTTCTGTGAGGCCCTGCCTTCTGTGAGGCCCGGCCTTCTGTGAGAGTTAAGCCTCAATTCAACATGTGACACCTTATGTTCTGTGAAACCATGCCTTTGTTTCAGATGTGAAACCATGCCTTGTGTGAGTCCCTGCTATGAGTGACACACCTTGCTTTCTGTGAGACCTTGCCCTCTAAGACTTGCCTTCTGTGAGACTCTGGCTTCTGTGAGGCCTTGCCTCCCTGGCTTCTGTGAGGCTTTGCCTTTTGTGAGACCCTTCCTTCTGTGAGACCTTGACTTGGCTTATAGTCTGAGACGTCCGGTAGGCAGGAGGCAGGAAATTTAGTGTTACTACTGCCTTAAAATGTGTCCGATTTGGTGTGTTTTTAGCATGTTCGTCGGGGAGGCTATTTTCGCAGGTTTTGGACAAGCAGGGGTAGTAGGCAGAAGTGTACCTCAGAAGGGTGCGAAACATATTGTGGCTTCTGCTTACTGCACCTCCTTTCCATTGAGGATATAATGAGCATATACATAGACATGTGCATATATACAAATAGATAGGTAGATAGGTAGATATAGATATATAGATAGATAGAGAGACATCGCCTCAGTTCGCGGCTCCATTTGCTGAACAGCACTGGCACTAACACTAGCACCAGCACTAGCACTGTCTATACTGTCTATCCTTAATGTATGCATGTACACTGCCTGTCCGCACGGGGACCCATACAACCCCGCAAATTAGGAGCAAATAGTAATGTAGTTCCATCATGGGGTAGAGAAGGACCAAGAAGAGGGGAAAAAGAAAGCAAACCCGCCCCCCCCACCATCTGCTTACTGCAGTATTATGTGTTTCATGACCTTGGGGTATTGGATACTAGGTGCAAGAAAAATCAAGACCGCCACTCCTACCAGTTGGCAGAGGGTGCATCTCCCACCGATACTATTCATAGCTAAGGATGGCCTGTAGGCAGGGATCCGCGCTGATGATCTAGTAATATCTAGTAAGAATTGTACCCCCACGCCCATCTAGTTGGCAAGTACACTTAAGTACCCCCGTGATAGCAAATTCTGAGGTATATGTAATTTGTTTATATACATAATGGTGGGAGCCCCGGCCCCAGTAGGCAGATTCAGCTACATACAACATACAAACAAAGGCACCCCAGTGGGCAGAAGTGTACCTCAGAATTTGCTATCATGGGGGTACTTAAGTGTACCTAATCTGCTTACTAGATCATCAGCGCGGATCCCTGCCTACCAGCTGTCCTTAACTATATTCTATGATACCCTGCTGCCTTCTGTGAGACCCTGGCGAGACCTTTCTGTGAGACCCTGCCTTCCTTGATGTGTGAGACCCTGCCATCTGTTCTTATCGAAAAATGTGCAGCATGTCTATAGATTGAATCTTGCTCCTATCGAAGACCAAATATAAAATCCTAAGCTTCAGTTATGGAAGAGTGTCCAGGGCCGGAAAGTGAGCAAGAGCAGCTCGCGTGTGGGAGCAGTAGAGGAGAGCAACAGTTCGGGAGCGTGTGATTTCACGGGTGAAAACACCTTCAGGTGCGGAATCCTTTATTTCCCTGTCTATTGTGTGAGACCCTGCATTGCGCCATATGTGATACGCATGCTTGTAGCCAAACTAGGCTTGGCACCCCCCTGCCTTCTGTGAGCCTGGCTTTGTTCAATGGGCGAGACTGTGTCTTCTGTGAAGCCTTTCTGCGAGACCTTCTGTGAGACTTGGCCTTCCGTGAGACCCTGGCTTCCGTGAGGCCTTGCCTTCTGTGAGACCCTGGCTTCTGTGAGGTGTTGCCTTCTGTGAGGCCCTTCCTTCTCTGAGACCCTGCCTTTGTTCATAATGTTGGGCCCTCTGTGAGACCTTGCTTTCTTTGAGGCCTTGCCTTCTGTGAGGCCCTGCCTTCTGTGATGCCCTGCCTTCTGTGGGAGTTAGGCCTCAGTTCGTTCAACATGTGACACCTTGTGTTCTGTGAAACCATGCCTTGTGTGAGTCCCTGCTATGAGTGACACACCTTGCTGTCTGTGAGACCATGCCCTCTGTGAGACCTTGCCTTCTGTGAGACCCTGGCTTCTGTGAGGCCTTGCCTTCTGTGAGGCCCTGGCTTCTGTGAGGCTTTGCCTTCTGTGAGACTCTTCCTTCTGTGAGAAACCCTGACTTTACTTTGTTTGTTTATGTTTTATTTTATGATGCCCTGCCTTCTGTGAGACCCTGCCTTTGTTTAGTGGGCGAGACCCTGTCTTCTGTGAAGCCCTGCCTTTATGTGAGATTCTGCCTTCCTTGATGTGTGAGACCCTGCCATCTGCTCTTATTTATTTGAAGATGTTTGATGGGCGAGACCCTGCCCTACCTTGCCCTCTGTGAGACCATGCCATTTCAAGCTCGTTCATTTGAAGATGTTTTGACCTACAAGAAACAGGAGACCACTGCTGTCCTGATTCTCCTTTGAGAATCACATGTAATGGATCTGCCCACAGGCTTTGTACGAACCTGAGCCCTTGACATTGCAAACTCGTGCTGGATACCATCCAAGCGCACTGACTGAGAAGTTTGAGCCACAGTTCTCGCAAACTGTCAAACTCTCAAATTGTCATGTTTTTATTTTCCTTGTCATGTTGTCATATTTTCTTCATTATCTTCCATGATTTTCCCTAATTTCCCATCTTTTCTCATATTTTTAAAGGTGGTTTTCTCACCCCATTTGGGTCTCACCCCCCAAACTTTTCAGTAGCTGATACTCCCCACATGGCCATCGTAATGGGGATAAGGATGATTGAGCAACGGATTTATGGTACCAGTACCCTATTTTCAGCTACCAACTGACAATAATGGTGCCATAGTTGAACATAAATATCCAATTTGGATATTAATATTAGATTATCAACTTTAATAACCATTTATGGTTTGTTCCCTATAAATTCCAACTGCGAACTTTGGCCATTGCCCAAAAGTTCGCCCAGTGACATGAGTTTCCAAGGCTCCAGACACGGAAGGCGCCAACACCAAATCTGTGGCGAAGGGAGGCTTTGGCCCAAACAGCATCATGAAGAAGGCTCGTTGGCTCGTTGTGGTTCTCGGGGACTGGACTGGGACGGAAGATGAGGATTTCGAGGTGATTTTAAAGGCACAAAAAAAGTGGTAAATGGCCCAACAAAAAGGCTCGAACTGTGGCGATTTGTCGGGCCTGAAGGCTCTGCTGAAGTGAGGCTATTCAAAGGATGGACCAGCGCGAAGCGTTTGTAGTCGTTTGTATGTGCTTTTGTGATCTCATGAATCTCATGTTATTTAGTATTTAGTCTAACTTTGTTATACAGTGGTTTAATATCATGTTATTTTCATCAGTAGTTATATCAGTTATATCCATGCGGTCGACGGAGCATCGAAACCAAATCTCAGGTGAAGGCCTCGGATTTTCAGAGCAGCACCAAGATCGAAGCGCTGTTGGATGAGATCAATCAGATGATTTCTGGGGATCCAAGTGCCAAGGCGGCGCCACAGCATGCTACAGCGGCTGGAGGATTGTTGATTTATGTTGATGGCTGCAGCTTGATATTTCTGGTAAACATACAAAAAGCTATGGAAAATCACTATTTTTAATGGGAAAATCCATTATAAATGGCAATAATATGGACCAGCAAGAAGAATTCATGGCAGGAATTGATGGCAAAGTCTGGAAATGAAAGGTTTATATGACGGTTCTGAATGATAAAGAACCCTGTCTATCTAGGTCTTGACTTTTGATATACGATTTTGGTGGTGAACTCAATCAAATTAATGCTCATCTATTTTTACGTGCGCTTTCCCCTGGCTCGCAACCATGAGAGCCAATCCCAATTGCAAGCCGCCAGGGCATTGTTTTTTCTCAGTTTGGATCTATGTTGGAGTATCTTGGCCTTCAGGATGTTGGTGATGCCGGGCTTTGCCAGTAGGACTAGTACAAGACAAAGTATGTTTTTCATTCATGAACCATTGGATAAGAGGAGTTGACCCTATCAGAAAGTTGCACAGGCCGTTTTTTTAAATGGCAGATCGACATCAATAACTACTGTCAAACCTTTTCATGAGACTCCTTCTCTTGAGCGAGAGATCAATTTGTCAATTCCCTCCTTCTCTTTGGCTGTTTCCAATTCTAGTTGAGGTTCAGGAACAAAGCACCAATATTTTATAGATATTAATAGAGGTACCACATGGATCTAAATGGAACTAACATGAATTCTTGGTTTTGCATGGTCCAGCTGAGTCCAGTTTTTACCCAGAAATCGACTACGTCGATTTTCCTGACTTCCCAGGCTGGTGGAGTTCCGCATGAAGCGTGCGGGGATTTCCTGTGTGGTCTTCCGCGGTGGGATGTCGATGCAGGATCCGGATGTTTTCCACGATGTGATGTGTGGTACTTGCAGGAAGTATGATTTCCATGGTTTTTCCATGGGAATCTGCAAGTGCTTGGAAGGGGTATTTTGGATTGAAGACGTGGAAGTAAATCAGCTTTGCATCCCAAAGTCATGGAGTCATCCATACTAGCCCCCTTTTTGGACATTTGCCATGGGCAAACATAGGAAGAGCAGCAGTAAATTCATGGCCTTTTTTTGTTTCAGGCACGTGATGATGCCTTGGCAGCTTTCAACGAGGATCCCACTCTGAAGGCAAGGGATGTTGAACTGTCGGAATTGATCAATGGATCATGGTCCCATTAGTATAGCATATGATGTACTAGTAAACTAGTATGAATAAATTTAATAATGGGACCAATTTTTCTAGTAGGTCTCACTATACTATAGCAAATTATAGTTAAGTATTTTCGGGAGTCATCATGATGGATCAAGACATCTTGAACCCGTTTCTTGGATGAATTGATGCACCTGAGGTGATCCTCATCTCTCTGAAAGCTGGTGGAGAGGGCTTGAACCTGCAGGCGCGTAAAATGCTAAAGATTTGAGGCTTGAAACGTGCCACCAGATTGGTAATATGTAGGATATGCTGCTTGATGGACATATGATATGTCTTGATCATCTGGTCTTGTATTTCTAATAGTATTCTTCGCAAGGTGTCAGGTTGGTGATGCGACAATGTCATCCCGGTGTGCTCTGAATACTTCCAAACTTAAGCACCACGACCCGGCAACGTATAAATGATGCCCATTTTGTGCTCATACGAATACAATGATCCATGAAGGTGAATCATTGTGATCCAGAACTTCATGAATTTACGTATGTTCATCGTGAATTGGCCATGCTGATTTCCGACTCGAGCATCTATGCTTTCCAGTTGAGTCGCTAAAGGAATTGGATGTCTATAGAAATCATTGAGGCCTTTCTCTGCAATCAGCTACAGGATCAGTGATTTTCCATGAACCTTAGTAAACTTAGTGCACTTAGCCAACCTTTCCTTGGTGGGTTAGACATGGTTAGACGTCAACTTTTCACAGGTGGCCAATCATGTCTTCCTCTTGGATCCTTGGTGGAATCCTGCCTGTGAGATGCAGGCAGGACGATTCCATGGTGCCGCTACGGACTCACAAAAAACATGTCTCTTTTAGGTTCTTTTAGCATTAAACTACATCTTTTTGAGGTTGATTAAATCAATGATTTGTCCCACAGGACCCCATAGGTTTTTCAAAACTAGGGTACCCTGGGTATCAATTTCCGCTTCAAGACCTACTGTGGCACCTCAAAGCGACAAAATAGGAGACCGAAAGAAAGGACACCACTATGGATGTAGTGGATGTAGATTCAGTTTCATGACACTGTAAAGAATTGCATCACTTGGAAACTAGTAGAAACTATTCAACATGATTCAACATGATTCGACATACATACATACATACATACATACATACAGACAGACAGACAGACAGACAGACAGACAGACAGACAGACATACATACATACATACATACATACATACATACATACATATATAATCATATATATATATTCCCCATGAAATTTGATATTGTTTAACCATCATTTTCACATTATAACTTATAACTGTTAGAAACTTCATAACTGGCGACAAAACTCCACTTGGCGCAGTTAAACTTTTCAGGCCATCCAACGCGCCCACCGCATTGGCCAAACTCGCCCGGTGAAGGCGCCCTTGTCCGCTGATGGCCGCTGGGGATGGCCCCATTCCAGATCACCAGATCCAGCACTGGCACCCCATGAATAAGTTGGATAAAAGTTGGATGAACATGGATGGTAAATGATGGTAATCCTTTTGCTTTTTGTGGGGGATGATGATTGGAAAGTTTATGATGAACCGGATCCAACTCTTGAAGAGCTGAATTTCTGGATGTTCTGCTTGGGAAGTTGGATACATCATGCTTCCAGGCGGTTCGCTTTATCACAGCAGACACCATCGAGGAAAAGATCATCAAGCTTCAGGCAGGGGTCAGGTGGCATGAGCAGTTCGACATCTTTCGACCAGTTCCTTGAGAGGAGAAGAAGCAGCTTGTCTTCGACGCTTCCATCGATGGCTCTAGCACATCTCTTGGAAAACTGACAGAACAGGACTGTGGCTGGTTGCAAAAACAAGAACCCGGATGAGATTGGATGACTTGTACTTGACCCGAGCCATGCCTCCTTGAATCAGTTCGAAAGAGCAGAGGTGACGCCACAGGAACAACTGGTTGCTTTCTGACAAGACTGTCCCTAGAAGTCACACACCCCAGCAGCGGTTTCGAAGACTATATATTCTTGTATGCACATCAGGTTCGACGTCTTGTTTTGCTTCCTCCTACTTGGGTGCATCTACTGTAACTAGCTGCAGACCTTTGGTTGCCAATATTTCTGAACGTGAGACAAACAATCGTCGTATCAAAAGATCATAGTAGATCCACATAGTGTCAGATATCTTTTGCATATTCGTTGGCTATCTAGGATGCAGCATTTTTTGCTCCTGATGATATTGATCCCTTCCAAATCCTCCCCGTTTGCCAGGATTTGCGCTTCCTCTTTCAGCACTAAGCAGATTTGAGAGTTGCAATCCGATTACATGGCTTGAATCGAAAAGTGGTCACCCCAGGATTGGAATCAACAAAAGCATGAAAAAACATGATCTAAAGTGACCTAAAATTGCATTTCTTTTTACAACATCCTTCAATGTCAACCAGCTCCAAGTCTCCAGTTGGTTGATATGTTTTGTGTTTGAGATCGACATAGATCGACACCCGGCAGGTCGCATGCAAAAATTAAGCGGCTTGCTCCCCCTAAGCGTGTGTGGTCCGAGACGCTTGTCGTTTAGTGGGTCAGGAAATGTAAGGATAAAACACCTGCGATTCAGGATCTAGACCTCTTCATGATATAAATTTGCCATGCATCATACATCATCATACATCATTGTTATGAAAATTACATGACTAATTTCTACATATTTCAGTTATACTGATACTAGATTACACCCGTCAGCAAAAATTGAATTTGGAGACCGGCACAAAAATGCAAGACTGTCATAGTTGCCTGTGGTACGGGTGCACTATGCTAGCAGCCCTGCGGGGCCTGCGGACCTGTCGTACGGGTCCGCCGTTTGAAGGCACATGTTCTTCAGAAAACGGCGACTTGTTTCGGGGTACCGGACACAAAATGGGGGGTTTCCGGGTTTCCGTAAAGGGTACCCCAAAATGCATGGTTTATAATAGAAAATCCTATGAACATGGATGATTTGGAGGTAACCCCCATGTATAGAACCCCCCCAAATGGGCAAATTATAGTTGTGGCACCACAGTCTTCGCAAGCTTTTTGACTCTGCTGATGGACAGAGATTATTAACGTCCAGCCTCTAAAGACCAAAGATGCGTGCTTACTGGTTTGTTCGTGGCCCTCATACGGGATCGTAGGATGCTTTAAGTTCTAGATTCTAGTTCTAGAAGTGTGAAAAGCCAAGTAATTAAACAAGAATAAGCAAGATGGTGTTAGCACAGCTAGCACTGGTTCCAAAAAAGAAAACGGTGAGGAACGGCGGATCTGTGGTACGGGTCTGCTGAGTTTTTCGTCGTAGGGAAGGCACGCGCCTCAATCCAAGGAACATTCGCCAGAAAAGCCAGCAGCTCTTGGCGTTTGATGATGGATTTACCCTCTGGTAATTTAACGTAGCTATGGAAAATCACCATTTTCAATGGGAAAATCCACTATAAATGGCCATTTTCCATAGCTACGTTAAATTACCAGAGGGTATTCAAAATAAATACTCTACTTCTGCAACACGGACTTTAAGACTTGCTGAGTTTTAGTTGTGAATCGTCGGAGTTGAGGGGAGCCAACTTTCATCAACTTCGACCCATGCCCGTTTCGCTCTGGCTTTTCTGGAATGATGAAGGACTCACGTAAGCCGCAGGCGACAGCTGGCACCAGTGAAAGTAGTCCTTCTTTACAAGCCCCCGGCACACAAGACACAAAATAAAACAGGAATCTTCATGAGTTCGCTGATGTTCTGGTATGATGTGTTTGAAGGAAATCCGGCAGCATTCATTTCGATCCGTGGCATTCGCTGGTCCAGCAATGTGCCGTCTTGGGAGAGCACAGATTCCGCAATTTGGGTGTCGCTATCGGATAGCTTAGGAAATCGCACTCTGAGATTTCCCTCTGCGTTCAGACGGAGATTGAATGTGACATAAACATCAACATTACATTTCGGATAATGATGCTGAGAATCAATCCCGGGATGATCTTGCCACATCTTGCCCCCTATTTTTTAGTGCCTACAGTACCTATTTATATTATTATAATTATTTATAATTAATATGTGGATCTTTACACATGAGGGTCTTCAATCGTATGAGACCAAAGCAACTAAGTAAATGTCATCAGATGATTGGTGAACTCCCCGAATCCAAGTATTCCTTGGATGATTTTGGATTCTCGGAGCATGCAGGCGGTCACAAGCTATCTTTTCCACGGCTTGGGTGAGATGTTGACGTTGCCGATTTTCTTGCTGGCGCTCTGCATGATGGCTACTGTCTGGCTGAAGTTTGCAGCAGCATCCACCAGTTCCATTGGTGAAGCCGGTTGAATCTGGTTGGTATGGCCATGGAAATTCTCCCTTAGGGGACAATTCACCTGGAAATTCTGAAACTCCTATGGTGGATTTTCCATTGCCAGGTTGGGATAGCTGAGGGCATAACCAGTTGGTGAAATCCACTGTTTTTAATGGCTGCGCCAGCATTGCTAAATCTTCCCATCGTCTTCCCAACGTGAAGGAACAGAACCAGTCATCAGAACGCAAAAAGAGCAACACCACCCGCCACGCAGCTGAGATTCAGCGGAGAAAATGTTCCAGTCACTGAGAGACAGATCCTGTGACTTCTATGGCTATGATATTTGGGTTTGTCGGTTGGTCTGAAACTCGGTATACGATATACATCGATATACTATGGTATACCCCCAAAGTGACCATGAAAAAAGGGGAACATGATGATCAACTATCAAATTTGAGGGTACCCAATTTTCAGATAATTTCAGATATATACTGTAAATCCATTTTGTTGGAATACTGCTGGATAGGCATGATAAAGTATGGAGCTGGTGTCGTCATCACAGACTTGAATGAGGCGCATAGACGTGAGTGTAATCCCAGCCCCTAATATTAAACACGCCCCAAATGGTCCGAAATATGTGTGAGCCCCTGCAAACCCATAGTTTCAGGGATTGTTTAAATTTTAGGGGATGGGGATTATTCCGATGACTTCAAGCATCTTCATATGGTTGAGTTCTCCATGTAGGGTAGCACGGCATGTGTCCTGGTGCATCCCGCCTGTGTGCAATACGACATGGCAGCGCTGTTGACCCGTGCCTCTGCCACCCTGCGAATGCTGAATCTGCCAGCTGAGTGGTTGCATCTGTGGCAGAAGTTGAGCTGAAATTTTGCTGGGACTACACAGCAGTTGATTGAAATCCAGTTCAGGTGCCTTTGGTAGGGCTTGTAAAGTCGCAGACGAACACGTTGTGAACAGACCGATATGCAGGAGTGATTTCAAGATATTTGGGGTCTTCAGCACATGGGCCAGTTGAATGTCGCACATTTTGTCTCCCTGTTTTGTCATGAAACATGGACTCACAGATTTCTTGGGAGCATGTCTGTGTGCCATTTCCTCTTGCTCTCAGGTTCTCAGGGTCAGCTTCACTAAGTTCAAGATCAAGGGTGGCTTTAGAATCTTTGGACTAGGCATGTATTTCTTGTCCCAGGGATGACTATGGGATCGAAACCAATCCTTTTCCCATTTTTCCCTGCAATCTCTTGATATGTTTGCTGGAGGGCCACCTAGAACTGCTGCTAGTCACGGCTGGTGAATGAAGCCTCGCCCTCCGACATTGCAGCCTGCGGGGGCCTGGGCCAAGGCCCAAGGAAACACCGATAGAGGTTGTGATGGCAGGTTGAGCCGCAACGTGCCACGGAAAAAATCATGGAGGTTTCCCAAAATGCGGGTACCCACGAATCATCCATCTTAATAGTGTTTTCCATTATAAATCATCCATTTTTGGGTACCCCCATTTTAGGAACTGCCCAAATGGTTTGGGGTGGGATGGAGTTTGGATTTGAGATTTTCAAGGTCCGTTATGGTCCTTCATTGGATGATGATGGACACTGTTTGCTGAGTGAAGTTGTAAGATCTACCGGCCGGAAGCGATGCTGCTGCTGAAGACGAGGATGCTGCTGCTTCATCATCATCATCATCATCATCATCAATGACTCGAGCATTCTAGATAGACAATACATGTTCAATAATAAAAGGGCTAACGCCCGGGTGCCGCCGACCCCCTGTTAAAGGGCAAGTTTTGGATTTTGTTTTGCTGCATGCAGCCGTCGGGTTCAACGCAATCCGACCATCGTTGAGGCTGAGTGAGCAGCTTCAATGCCGCCATCAGTGACGAATAAATACATACATGACCGGGCAGCTTGGAAGGCTGGAGAAGGTGGGGGCAAGGAGGCCCTAGTAGAACCAAAAGTGCCAAACGGCAGCTTCCAAACCTTTAATAAAGACATGACATGACTGGGCAGCTTAGAGTAGAACCTAGCAGCTAGACGGTGGGGCAACGAAGAACCTAGCAGCTTGGAGGCTTGAGAAGGCGGGGAAATGATACACTAGTACAACCTAGCAGCTTGGAAGGCTTGAGAAGGCGGGAAAAGGACACGCTGGTGGGGCAGCGGGTGGCCCTAGTAGAACCAAAAGTGCCCAACCGCAGTTTCGAAACCCTTCATAGACATGACCAGGCAGCCTGGACTAGAACCTAGCAGCTTGGAAGGCTTGAGCACGTGGACTTGGGAGGCTTCAGAAGGTGGGGCACTGAAGAACCTAGCAGCTTGGACCCTAGGCCAAAGCTGGGCAGGGGTCGGCGGATTACATGTCATGGCTGGGAGCAAACCGCACCACGTGACCAACCAGAAGTGTCCCAAGGATATGCCAAGATGGCTGTGGCATCTCCGATCTCCGCTGCTTTTTGGCGCAAGAGAAGGGTTGCTTTCTGAAGGGCAGTGGGGTGATGTCACGAGCGACAGGAGGTGATCCTAGAAGGAAGCAGCAACCTCAATGTATTTCAAATGTTTGCCCATCTTCACCGCCCCAATTCCCCAGAGTGTGGTGGTCAAGGAAAGCAAAGCTCCCAACCTACACATTGCCACATTGCATTTGCGAAAGTAGTCATGTCAGTTAGAGTCTGAACAAACAAAACATTGATACAGACGATTGAGACCTCTGCACATGCCGCGGTGTCATCTCATGTTCAGATTGCAAGCGTTAATTTTCACAACAACAGCATACAACATCATACAACATCATACAACTACCATCTCAAGAATTGGGAACACACGCTTGAACACCAATGACTGCTCGGAAGGAAGCACGACCATTTGGTCTACACTGATTATTCTGCTCCCCTATGAACTATACTAAGATTGACAAAGCTTAGCTGAACTGCTTGCACTTTCTAAACAATAGCAGTGGGCCAATGGCTGGTGTGCATGTTCCGGTGCATCCGGCATGTGTCTTTCTTCTGAGAGACCTTCTCTCGGGTTTGGCGCCTTACGTTTATTCACTTAGTCAAGCAGGTCGCTGGATACGGTAGCCTGACATAGTCATAGATGTCATAGTATGTCACAAGTTGAATAAATTGGAGCACTTAGCATAGCACTTCCCCAAAGATTGCAACAACATAGATTAGATATCATCAGATCAGTATTATAGTACCCATAGATATAACATGATATGTCTTGATATAATTTGATATAGCTTGTATATAATATCGTGTATATAATATCGTGTATATATATATAAATTATATATATATATATGAGTAACCGACAAAATTAGCAGAAGACTCAAGTAGTGGAGAGTGGACATGGGATGTTGAAATTTGTGCGAAAACATTCACAACCGATAGGGGGCCACCCACTTTGGCCATGTCCATTGCGGGTAGTAGGTAATTTTGTCCGCCACTCATTAAATTTGTTCCGAACCACAGCCACCACACGCAACGAACTCGCGGCCAGGTGGGTCATCCTCCAGTGGTCTTTTGCACACCCGGAAACAGGTCGCGGAACGAAATTTGACGACCACGACGGGCAGTGAGACATTCTACTGATTACTATGGTTTTACATAGCATTATCAATTTATATAATATGTCATAAATATACTTGTGATTATATTTTGTATATATTATAATATGTTGTTGTTTAGTATTGTCCAATAATGATCATGTCTCTCTTGTATCTCCATGATATCTATCCTTCCCTCATCATGCTCAATTTTGTTCCATGTTTTTCCTTGTTGAACAGACATTTCAACATACATGATAGAGGCATTGCCTGTGGCATAACATTATGTGATTGTGTGCATCAAATCTATAGAAATTAACAACTGTCCAGACATGTGCCGAGAGGATGGATAAATTAAAAAATCATTGTTTAATCGTTTTTCTCGATGCTGTATCATATTTTAGCAAAACGTGTAGCATATATTGAATATAGTGTTACATGAGATTATTTAACATCATATTGTATCATACAGTATCATCTTATCGTCATGGGGAAACCAGTTGGCCAAGTCGGTTCGGCCAAGTTGCAGGGATTTGTGTGAGAAGATCGTGGCCCATCTGAGCTGGAGCATTGGTAAGGCTTGGAAGTTGACGATTTTTCCCTTACGAATTCTGCGTTTTTCATATTGACCCAACACAATGACCATAACTGACCGACTGACCCTAATATTTTTTTTCAAACAGATATAATTATATTAATGATTATTAATGCCGATGCAGCCATGTATATCCCAGCTCATTCCCATGGTATTTTGGGTTTCTTCACTTTGAGGCCCAGGCCCTTACCACTGCAATGGATACTGTTTGCCAGGCCAGATTCCGTACCTTTGCGAACGGTGAGATCTCGGTGAAGTTGGAGCAGTCCGTGTCGAACTACGATGTCTTCGTGGCACGGAGACCTGGGAAGATCTGGCCGCAGCTTGCGATGGTCAAGGTATGATTTCAGAATTGAGGGCCTGGAAACTGTGTCCTAGTGTCTCGTTTGTAAAGTGTGTTCAGACTACGGCTTTGATCCACCAGTGCAACTGCTTGAAACAACCGGCGAGTAACCTGCCATGATAATCCACCAGGACGTCTTGATGACCTTTCCATCACGTTGCGATGTTGCGCGGGGGTTACTTTCGAGGTTTGTGCTCGGGATGATTTTGAGTGCGAGATCAACTTCATGCTCATGCAGGCCATGTCCAACCCAGGGTTCCAAGGTTGGGTTCAAGGTTGAGGGATTATGTCTTCCTTTTGGAAGTATCATAAATTGGGGTTGAATTCCATTGTATCCCGTTACGGTCCCGTTAAAAACTTATAAAAACCCAAGTATTCCCACTAAAATCCAATTAAAAATTCCCATTAAAGTTTCAATCTATCCCCATTCATATTTTCTTGGTTACTGTACATGTAGCATTTTGGGACCAACAACTCCCGCATTTCATTGCCAGCGCCACGCCAGCTGCTGATCATGCTAGATGCCTTGAAATCGGAGTCCCCGCATCGCATTACCGTGGTGACTTCGGTTCAATTCTGGGAGGAAGGGGATGTCAATGGGATTTGAATGGGATGGATGGAAGATTTTGGTGGGATTTTCGTGTGATTTTATGTGGGATTTTAACTGATTCAACCAACTAGTAACAGAATGTGCTGGAATCAGCGAAGTGGTTAGTGGATTCTAGGCGTTTTAACTGGGATGGGGACACACCCCAGCGCCAATCCCTTCGCATTGGAGCTGCAGGTTTTGCCATGCGTGGAGTATTCGCGGCAGGAGAAATCGGATTTTCATCGCTGTGAAGTTTAGAAACACTTCGATGTGCACTGGGATGCACTGGTAAGTGCAGCCTTCAGAAGCAAGGGTGTTTTTGGACCCGATCCGAATTTTTAATTGGACCTGATCCGAATTTTTAGAAATATTATGTATATATATAATATATATATATATAGATGAACGTGAATATGAATATGAATATATATATATATAATTATACATGTATGATGCATTGTCATCCGATCTTTGTTCCATCCAGACTGTCTCTGACAGGCAAAGGAAACATCCTTCCCACGAGAAAAAAGCAATGATCCTTTCCATGTCCACTTCGAATTTGATAGTTATGGTATATTATACCATATTATATTATAGTATAAATACATCATTTTCATCCATGATCATATATATATATACACACCATAACTATGGCACTATATTTATTATACCATGGTATAATAAATGACGGTGGTATAAATTAATATACCATCAACATGCTCAACAAAAGCTGCTGGAGGACCGGAAGTTTGAGGCGGGCGAGGCGATCGCTCCAAAGCTGCTGTTGCACTTGATGGCGACCGCCGGTGCAGATCGCTTCGTCACGATCGACCTACACAATCAGGCGCCGGGGCACAGCCCTGGGGACACAAGGGCCCAGGGGCCAGGAATAGAATCCGTGTGTTAAAATATGTCAAGATGAACCTAGATGAAATTCAGAATTTGGGTGCGATCTTAATCCTTAATCTACTCGACCTGTTGGTCTGAGGATGAAATTGGAGATAGGCTCTGCTCTTTGCCCTTTGTTCCCACCATGCCTACCATGTTTCACTGTTTGACCACAAGTTGCAGGCTGAAGCTGGGTTTAGCCCAGCACAAGCAGCTCTAGATGAATTGACCTGTGAGTGCCGGTACTCGGATTTCTGATTTGTTGTTGGTGATTGGGCTGATGAAGGTCCATGCAAGAGTCAGCAACATGAAGCTATGTATTGGCCTTCATTGGATATCATAACAGTTGAACCAGTTGAACCGAACATGTTTGTATTGTGCAGCCATTGTTTAGCCATTATCTTTGCATTTGTTGAGTGCCTTGAGGAAATATCTTGCAGCCTTCATCCGGGACATGATTCCGGAATTCAAGCCTCAGGACTTTCTAAAACCATGGTGGTTTGCCTATGGGCTCAGAATCCCTACAACACAAATCGTTGGAACATGTTGGAACTTGTTGGAAACCACCATTTTTCGGGCTGTTTTGGGTTTAGGATTGAACCCTACAGTAATTACCCTGTATGATTTGCTGCGATACTGTCTCAAACATTTTGCGCTAAAATGCCAGCCTCAGGCGTTTTGCCTCATGTTTGGGTTGTGAGAATGATCTCTGGTTGTATCTGTGGAGGATTCCCACAATGTCAGTCTTGCGTTGATATGCCATAAAAAACCCTGAGCTGCTGGGAAATGGAACCATTTGAGTAGGAAATCATCATAAACTCTCAATTTTTGGGGCAACTTATATATATATACATATATATATATGGTAACTTCCCCTAACTATCAGATACTGTAGTAACTTTGGTAACTTACGGTAACTTCCCCTGTAACCACTCTATAGTCATCCAGGGTTCACTTATATAAAAGGCCTTGTTCAATGCCAAGGAGACTTTGGTCTGCGCCACAGACGCGGGTGGTGCGAAACGCACTCGAAAGATGGCGGATGAGCTTCAGGCGACCTGGAAGCCTGGCCTGGGTTGGGAAGGTCAAAGCCCACGGAAATAGTGGCAGTTGTAGTTTACTGTTCTTTTTATTCGCGAAGAATGGCCGTTCCCGGAATATCTGAATTTTGATTAACAACCATTTATACTATACATATATATATATATAATTTTATTATATATATACGTATATATATATATATGGCTGCGAGTCAAAATGTAAAGCCCCGATCCATACCCTGAACCCACAGGCCGATCCATACCCCCGATCCATACCAAAACGCAGGTGATCCAGACCGTTCCATACGTCTGGATCACCGCGGGCCGATCCATACCCGAATTTTGAGGCAACCCCATATATATGTATACGTAGTATGACCCAGTTATTACGGAATATCAATGACTATCACCAGCATTTGGGAGGGAACCAAGCAGTGACCTTTCGTCAGTGCTGCGTGCTGCGCTCGCTGCAGGTGGGTTTCATGATGGCCGACAAGTTCAGACCCAAAGCGGGGGAGGTCGGTCAGGCGCCGGTGCCGTGCTGGGAAGATGTGGCTGGAAATCTAAAGAAAAGGGGAACAAGTTGGAAAATCTCATGGTTTCCAAACATGAAATACCTAGAAGGACTATTTTGGAGAAAGTCTTCCATGTTTATCGTGTTTTGGTCATCAAAACTCTGACATTTCTACTACAGACCCACCAGTAACAGGTGAAGATCATTTCGGACGCATCATTGAATCCGTCCAATGTGATCATCGTGGATGATATGCTCCTGGTCTCAGAAGCTGTCAACTTGTTGCATGGATTTCCTGGATTGGTTTTAAGTTTAGCTGCAGACTGCCTCTGAAATACACTCGGTTTGGCTCTTTTTGAGCTCCGTCATGGATAATTTCCTGAACAATATAGCTTTGAAAAAGTCCTCACTCTCCAAGTGTCAAAAGGCTCCATAGTATTCCATAGATGTACCAGGTTTACAACCATAGTTTTTTGTTCCAGTCCTTGCCTAAAGCAAGGCATTGTTCATGTCAGCATCATCTCCAAGGTTTGACACCTGTGGCAGCCTCGTCAAAGTGGTTGAGGCTGTTCGCGGCTTCGCGCCCGAGGCGGGGCACGAAGCACCGGGTGAATTTTGCAAACGAGGTAGGTGAAACTTGACGTTGGCCTGCGGTCAGTCATGCATCAACCTATACTTTATATCCTTAATTAATTATGTATATATATATTATATTATATATTATATATTATATACTATATATTATATATTGTATACTATATATTATATATTATATACTATATATTATATACTATATATTATATATTGTATATTATAATTATATATTATATATTATATACTATATATTATATATTATATATTATATATTATATATTATATATTATATGATATAAGTTACATATGCATATGATATATGCATATATATATATATGTATATATATATATTATTATTCTACATGATATATGATATGATATGAATAATATGATATAAATTATATAATATTATTATATTCTTTTGTTGGGGATCCAAAGGCAGGCACAGAATACCAGTGTTTACAATCGACTGTTTACACAGCAAAGTTCCAAGCTCGCGAGGCCAAGCTTTATGCCGTTGGCACTCATGGCTACTTCTCCAAGGACTGGATGAACAGCCCTTGATATATCACCGGATGGGCAAGATGTCAGGACGCGTCTGAAAAGGTGGCCAAGATGATTGCAGAACTTGGCCTTGAGGCGTCCGTGCAGCCTCAAACACACTGAGTTTGCTGCATCATAATCCATTTTTGCTGGGTGTATGACCACTCGCAGAATTACAGAGGCTACACATGGTGCAAAACAGTTGACATGGGCATGCAGCGTGGTGATTTGTGGTGACTGTTTGTCAAGTTACTTCTCTTAGCAGCCCCTGACTTTTATGAAATGCCTTGCTTTGCCAGTGGATCGCAGTGACCAACTGCATATCTCAACGAATGCCTGTTCCTTAGTGCCTGTTTTGGACAGTAGGCTTTTTCTTATGAACAGCTTGTGTTTCACTCTTGGGTTGCACATTCAAAAGCGAGCTGCTTTGGGTGTCGAAGTTGGAAGGCTAACGTAATATGACTCCGATAGCTTTTTGTAGCAGCGAATCTCTATGAACGGACTTTGCGTTTGAAATACTCACCACATCTTCTTTTCTAGGTTTTGGTATGTTTTGGTACTAATCAAAATATGCCCTGGTTGGGCACCCCAAATTGACCCATGCTGTTCTTTTTGTTTTTTGGGCATTTATCCATGTCTGAATGGATTTGAAAACCTCAATGACCAGTTTCCTCCCGGCTTTGTTTCTGCATGATAGTCAGGCTCGTGAACTGAACGTATTACAGCTGACTCGCTTTTTGTTGTGCCAAGCGACCAAACTGTATTCACCTGGGTATGGGTCAATACCTATAGATACATTTTTAGTGGGATGAACATCCATTTACCAGCTATTTTGGGGTTCACTAGGTACCAGGGTTTTGACCCATCCCCAAATTGTTGTGGAACAGACTGACAGCATCTGACTGCATCTGACAGCATCTGACAGCCACCAAGGCCATTGCAAAAGTTCGAAAAACTTGGCATTGGAGACAGGCACAAAGCTGCGCAAGACTGGCTGGAGAGTTGGCCTGGCCACCAGAATCACCAGAGACATGCCCGGCAAAAAACAGGAGGAATTACCTGTAATTATAGATATGACTGGGGGTGCTGGTGGTTTCGTTCACCGTCCTTATTAAATATTAGTAAACATATATAAACATCATAAATGGCGATGATATGATGACCCTGGCAGGCTGAAGGTGGTGGACATCTCGCGTCTCGTTTGGAGCCTCAACGATCGCTTTGGAAAAGGTCCCAACATGTTCCGATGTTGAAGGGACGATCTGTGGAATTCTGTGGATATAAACAGCTCGTATTTGCTCTTAGCCACTCCTTAAGGTAGCCAAGAGCACTTAAGAACTTAAGAGTGGTTAAGAAGAGAGGGGTCACATATGGTCACATCCTGATTTTGTCGGTATTTACAGTGTTTCGTGCACTCAGATGGAGTGAGCAATCCACAGGTTTGACAATGAATGATTTTGGCTTCTGTACGCAGAGGCCCTTAAAATTAGAGGGGTCACACCCAACAGGGTCTGACCAGCACTCTATGAAAATTATCCAAAAACTATCCAAACAGATCCAGACATCATAAAACTAATCCAACTGGTTTTGCTTCGAGATTCCTCGATATCACTGTGCTTTTCGCAGAGCACTTGATTTTCGCTAATCGAATTTTGCGATCTTCAAGGTGGCAGGTGCCATCATTCGGATTCACCTTGGGGCCAGTGTCAACTTGCCGAAGTTTCGACAACTTGGGTCTGCCTGGCGTTTTGAGTCCGGAGTTACCCTCATGCGTAGAAGGGACGAAAGATGCGGAAGAGTTTCCGACTCCGGACAATTTCAAGAGCGGACATGTGAACAACTCAATTCTACAGTATTCATCAATCAATATTCATCCAATATTCATCCAATATTCATCCAATATTCATCCACTATTACCCTCTGGTAAACTAACATCATGGTGGAAAATCACCCTAATTTTAATGGGTAAATCAACATAAATCAACTATTTCTATGACCATTTTCAATAGCGAACTGTGCCAGGCCCCTGAATCCAGATCCTTTGCTGGCAGAAGCAGCCTTTGTGCCACAGCCCAGCCGAGCCTGTCATAACCGATGTCAGAATATGTCAGAATCCTGAAATGACATGAAATGACTTCATTATGTTTGATGATATTTGATGATTTTTTGATGATATTTGATGATATTTGATGATTTTTTGATGATATTTGATGATATTTGATGATATTTGATGATATTTGATGATATTTGATGATATTTGATGATATTTGATGATATTTGATGATATTTGATGATATTTGATGATATTTGATGATATTTGATGCTTGTGTAGGCACACTGAGAACATTTCTTTCCAGATTTTCAAGGGCTCGGTCCATGCCAATGATGCCATTGTTTCCCGACATCGGCCCAGGTGCCCACAACGCAGTACACCTTGAGAGCTGGACACCTATAGCCGACCGCACGAGTGGCTCTAGCTTTGCAACTTCAAAACACACGAGCTTAAGATGTCAAGATAATCTCATATAATCTCATATGATCAGAATTTTGTTGGAATCTTGAACTTGTTTGAAGCTGTCAAGATGATAGCGGAATGATCTATGGAATCACATTGGCTCAGGGGGCTGCCCCTGCGGCGAGCACTGAAACATGAGGCAGGATTGCTCAAACGGAGTGGAATGTTTTTTGATCCCATCCAGCGCGCAAGCCTTTCTTCCAATGGGAGGCGTCTTCTTTATGTGGAAACCTCAACAAAATGCGCAGGAAGACGCACCTTTTCTTGGTGTGCATAAATTGACCCAACATCAGTGTTTTCATATTGCTCACCCCAGTCAGTCTCAGTGTGCATGAGTTTCTTTTGATCGCTTCTTTTGGCCACCACAATACCAGTTACTCATGTGCAATATGTGCGTTCCATCCTCTTTTTCTGGTTCTCTTTCTTTGACTTCCACCCCTTTTGGGTCAGACACGTATTTCTTCAAGAAACAGCTAAGGATGAACTTTGATTTCTGTTTCCACTTACCACAAGAGGATCTTCTCAAGACCTGCCAGGTTTTCCTGTGAGCGCAGATGGTTCAAAACACCAATTCCACGAATTGGTTTGTTGGTCACGTAGTTCACAAGCAACCAATGGCCAGGAAAATGGAAAGGTTTGGGGCTGCTTCAAAGATCTTCAAAGGGTTGGAACATGTAGGAAGTGCTGATAGGGCATCAACATTATGCCTCTTTATGCGCTAAAAATTGCTCTTTCGTCTAATTTCTTTAGAGTCAGAGCCTTTTCGGCGCGAGAGCAAAACGTGTTCTCCAGCTGGGTGCGAGGTGATTTCTTGCTATTGGTTACCTGATGGGAAATGATGGAGTCGGAATGTGGGAAGCAAGAGCTGTTGCAGGCTTGGTTTCTACTCACAATCTGATTCTGCTTAACTTGAAAAGAGATTAAAAATTCTCGATGTCCATATGTTCCAGACCTGCGTAAATAACAAGACAAAAGATTTTGGTTTGGATGATCTTGTCCATGAGTTTCAATCGCCCATGGATTAGAAGTGCGACTATCTTGCTAGGGCTTCCTCGGTTGCACCATAGTGATCCATAGTCCAGCTTTTTCACCTGCAGCCAATTTGGCAGAGTGATTCAGATAGTTGCCTTCCGCGAAGACGAAAACCAATGGTGGAGGGCGAAAAGAAGAAGAAAAAGAAGGCTGCCCAACAATATCCACCATTCTGACTGCATGAGCAAAGTCTCTTCACCGTCTTGTATACATACATACTGTGTGTATCTGTGTGTACCATATTATATATATATATTATATAGAATATCTCTCTCTCTCTCTCTCCCTCTCTCTTTCGAAGCAAAAGGGATGCTGTGGACCTGTGGAGCTGGAGTGAAAATCGCAGGCCGAAGAACTTTTCATTAAGCCAGAAGATAGCCAGAAACCCATCGACACATCAAAGCACTCAACCTCAGTGGGTCTCGGGATGCACCTCAGCGGTTTCATGATCGTCATTGCTCGTACATGGATGTGCATGATACATATCCTACGTGGCAGATCAGCACACTTTGTGCCGAGGTGGCCCCTCCTGTTGAAGAACTACTCCAAGCTGCTGGTAAGGCAAGATATGGCAAGACTCACGAGTGTAGAGACGACAATGACACGCTCAGAGCGCGTTTTGTCGTGCCCAGTTGAGCCGATCCTGTGGAAGCCCACAGTTGTCTCAGCTCGGTGCACTCTTAGCAAGTTAGGGAGCGTTCTATGCGTTCTTCCCAATGTGTTTTGAATGACAAGAACGCGTCTCAACTAAGCAACATGGGCAAGGTTTCGTCGTGTTTCGTCTTAACCCATCTCGGTATCCGACCATGGTACTCCTGCTGATTTCTGCAATCTCCAAGTCCATGTTTACATAGATCTCTGTCAGGACAGGGCACTACACTCCACTGCCTTTTGGTTGTTCTCCACTCACTAGACCCTTGGATGTGTGAGCCTCAAAATGGAGTGGTCGATGATGATAGATGTAGCGACCACAGCGTTTTTGACATTTTTGACCATGGCCATCATGGCCCGTCATGGCCCGTCATGGTCGCATGAGGCCTATTTGCTCTATGGCATCCTCAATCTGGACAAGCCCGTGAATCCTTCCAGTCATGAGGCCGCCGCCAGGTAGTAAAGATATTAAAGATCAAGGTGTATCATGTTCGTCATCTTCGTGTTTGTTTTCACTGGCGTTTGATATTGGATATTGTAATATACGTATATATATATATATATGATATATTTGTTATTGTATATAATATATATATACAGTGATTTGATGTGATTTGTATACTTGATGACATCCAGCCAATTGAAGTCAGGATCATCTCCAGATGCAGCCGACCTTTTTTAGCTCCGCTGCAGGTGGTCTCTTGGATCAAGCGGATCATGAACTGCGAAAAGACGGGCCACTCCGGAACCCTGGATCCCAAGGCCACCGCCAGGGCATGTGAAAGGGTCATGGTAGATGGGTGTGTCATGGTGAATGGGGTCATGTTTTTTCATGGAAAATGATAGAACATGCCGGAAAGTGACGGAACATGATGGAAGATGATGTTCTAAAGCCATCAAACTATTTGTGGCACCCTATTGGACTCATGTCACATCCCAAACTTTGGTGGCCAGGTCTCTGGCTGCTTGCTGGTGTGCTTGAACCGGGCTACACGCCTTGTAAAAGCACAGCAATCTGCCGGAAAAGAGTACCCCACGCTTCATCGAGAGGGACTGTGAGAAGATCTTTGAGCTTGCTGTATCTTTAAGTATTGTATATTGTATATATCTTATAACATCTTATAATACTGTAACCATATATGCCCATATAACACGCATATATATATATGTATATATATATATACACACGGTATATGTATTATAGAAGTGTTCAGAAATACAGTTTCTAAAACAGTTCCTGATGCTAAAAGGGCCCACCAGGTACATCGCTGTCGTCCGTTTCCATTCAGATCCTGGCTCTGCATCAAAGGTTCAGAAGGCGACCGTGGTGCACAGCCCGTTGATGTCACCATCAAATATTCAAATATGGGTAATCCATAGGGATACCCCAATAGCTGGATGGCTTATTTCATTGGTGAAATCCCAAACTAGAATGGATGATAACTGGGGAGTTCAATCCCATGGATTGGAAATTCCCATTGAGGTATACCAAAAATCATCGTCAGAACTTCAGAACCCAAAATTTCACCCAATAAAGTTCACCCGAAGTCCCGAAATCGAGTGGTGCACCAAGTGCAGGCGCTGGACATGCTGACAGGTGCTTGTTTCCAAAGGCCGGGTGTGACGAAAAACCGCTGATGACCTTACTAAGGACGGTGAAATGGCCGTATCACATAGAGATATGAGTGAAGATCCATTTTATGATGAATGTATCATAGACACTGTTCATGAAAAATGTATGGTGAAACAACACCTATTCGATTTGAGCATATTTGGCAGGATGAACATCCACCGGCTATTTTGGTGTGAACTAGAGCATGCCAGGGTTTTGACCCATAGCCATTTTTCGCCTTGGAAGTATGATTTAGATCTACAGGCTTTTGCTATACAACTATATCAAATCCTCCATGGTTTCTATTCCTTGAAGTTTTGATCCAAGATGAAGACTGGCAAGATCAACGAGAAAAAATCTGCCAGAATAGTTACCCTATGGTTAAAAGCCATGGTTTCCTGTAGTTGATGGTTAATCATGGTTCATACAAGCGCTAGCGTTAAGTCGTATCAACTTGTAAAAGTCGTATCGGGAGGCCGTGCGCCTGGAAAAAGTTCAAGTTTGGCATCACCCTTCAAAGTCATCGCTGTGCGCAATGCTTCGGCGACTTTTAACTAAATCTCCAATTATAGATGAAACAGGCTGTGCCATGGTGATTCTTCTTCCCTGATGTGACTTTCCACTACCTGATGTGACTTCTCCGTATCGCCGCCGTGCCATGGGGATGATGTGACTTTTCCCGCCTGATGTGACTTAAGTACGGTGCTTGTAACCCAAAAAAATGATGCATATTGATGCTTCATCCCCTATTAAAATTCCCATTCCATCCATTGAGATTCGCAGGCCACCAGTGATCTCTGCAGTGAAGCGTCAGCTTCGAGTCCGCGCGGGGACCTGGCGACCTGATGCGACCTGATGCGACCTGGCGCCACCAGTGGGATCGCAAATGATCATCTATAGAATCACATACATTTACAATCATTTGCCATCATTTATATATGCACATATATATATAATATATGATATATATATATATGTACATATATATATATATATGATATATATGTATGTATATATATATATATTATATTAATACAGTATCCACATGTTTATATATGATATATATGTGCATAAATATGTATCCACATATCCAATCCATTCCCCTCACCGAAGTCACCATATCATTTGGCACTACACTGACAACTCAGGAACTATCTACGAGGCGCATATGGTGGGAGAGGAATCACGAAGCTCGAGCCCTTCCAAGCTTTTGTGTGTTTAAGAAGAAGAGCAGACCACGTCCGTTGCAGATGTTTGACTTGTAGAAACTGTCTGTTTTGGAAGCATTTCTGTTGGGGCCATGTCCTAGCACTCGTTCCCATGGGAGGCCAAGCTCATAGAGTACAGCTCAAAAAGCTACTGGGCTTTCAAAGTCAGACCCAGGTTTGTTGAAGGAAAGATGACAGATATTGACAGATATATCTTCTTCAGTACACACCAGGAGGCTGGAGACATTTTTTCATCTTGGTCAAAAAATGCATGGGACATCATGGGGCATCATGGGACATTCATGACTGTTCAACCAGTCACCTCAGCGAACCCCAGCCCAGGGATGCTGAAAACCAAGGACAAATGGCCGTACTTTGGACTTCCTGTGAGGCGTCCGGTGTGCCATTTGGCCAGCGTGGAGCTGTGGTTGACTTGGATGGCCCTGAGGATTATATATAATGAAGTGTCAAAATAAACAATCAAAATACTAGTAGGTTATATATAGGTTATATTATATTACATATCAGTTTGCACATTAACTTAAGCGTCTTTGAAATATATTTGAACAGTCTTCCACCTGATGAAATTAATGCTGCATTCCTGAGAGGCTGGCACCTACATCCGGACCCTTTGCGTCCACTTGGGCTTCATGCTCGGCGTAGGAGCACACATGCAGGAGCCGGGTCCTCTAAAGCGTCACACTTGTGGATGAGCCAAACTGATTGGCCCAAAAAATTGAATGGTTTTAGTGTGGTTTAATATCGTTTAGCATGGTTTAGTCACATTTAGTATGGTTTACCAAACAATAAGCCGACCAATTTTGTGGGTCCATTGGTTAGCCAGATCCCTCCCACAGGAGCTGCGGCGAAATCGCTCTGGTGTGCTGGATGAGCACAAGTACATGTCAACGACCCTTGGTTCTGAACGTTTCTTCACCCTGTCAAAAAAGTTTATGATCCAATGATCCAACGCAATGTTAGTATATGCATATGTATATATAGTATAATATATATAATATATAATATAAAGTATATTATATACTATATGATATAATATATAATATATAATATATTTTTAAAATAATATATAATATAAAGTATAATATATAATATTATATATGATATCTAATACTATATATATAATATAGATTAATATAGAATATATAATATATAATATATAACATAGAATATCTAATATATAATATATAATATATGTATAATATGATACATAATATATAATATATAATAAACAATATATAATATTTAATATATAATATATAACATATAATATTTTATATATAATATCATTTTTAATATTATATAGTATATGATATGATGTATAATATATAATATAGAATATATAATATATAATATATATAATATAATATATAATATATAATATATAATATATATAATGTAATATATATAATGTAATATATATATATATAATATAATATAATATAATATAATATAATATAATAAAATATAATATAATATAATATAATATAATATAATATGTAATATAATATATAATATAATGTTTATTTTATAATATAATATAATATAATATATCATGTAATATAATATAATATATAATATAATATAATATATAATATAATATATAATATAATTTAATTTAATATAATATAATATAAGATAATATATATATAATACATGAATGTCTCAGTAGTATTTAATGATCTACAAAGAATCTTTTGCAGCACTCTTCACTTTCTAATTGGCACTATCAACCAAAGCAATTGCAATCGTGAAAGGACATGTGACAACTATTTCCAATGGCAAGTAACCAAGGATGCACGATGTGCTGGACTCGATGTATATGTGCGCCGGGTCAACTTGAGCTGAGCTAGCGGATCTCAGACATGTGGCAGTCCAGTTACATGCAGTTACCCAATAACATTGGTGTAGCTTGATTTGACTGATTTACAGCTGCGACAAGCCTTTGGTGGTTGACACCTCTGAATTTTGTGGCGAGCAGACCACCCTGAGAGTTGTGCTGGCCAGCGGTGATTTGTGGTGCAGGTACAACAACATGCGGGATGAAAAATACCTCAGAAGGGTCGTCATGCCACTGGAACTGATCCTGACCAACTATCCACGGATCGTTGTCAAGGACCCCAGTTGGGTGATGATTGGTTTGGGCTTATAGATATATTGGGGAGTATCCTCAGCCGTTATGGGAATCCCTATCAATGACAGAGGGTTTTGAACACTGCTCGCAGCAACATACAAGCTGTGTGCAAAGGAGCTGAACAATAACTGAGTAGTGTTCATTCCATCCAATCAAACCACTGTGATTGTTCTCAGACTCTTTGTTCCACACATACATACCAGTATAGTATAATTCAGTATAATATATATAATTATATATATATATACAGTATACAGTATATATATATATACATAATCCGTTATAGTAATAACATCATATAGTTTTCTTTGCACATCAGGACAGCGCGGTGAATGCCATCTGCTATGGTGCGCAGCTGATGATCCCTGGCATCCTCCGTTTTGAGCAGGATATCGAGGCGACTCGGGGCCAAGTCACCACTAAAACCCGGCGCCGCAATGCCCAATCGGTCGGATATGGTAGGTTTATCATGTGGTAAACTGTCCCATAACTATGGAAAGATCCACCATTTTCTAGCTGGGAAAATCCACTATTTCGACTGGGCCATTTTCAATTGCTTTTTGTAGGTTCACCAGAGGGTATGATGTGGCTTGCCCACATTGTAAAGGATCATAAGGAACTTAGGCCCAAGCTGAAGTGTTTTTGTGTCTATTCATGTTGGGTCAGGTGTTTGATATCACCCCAAAAATGGAATAGCATGGAATAAATGCATTGTATCATCTCACCTAATCTAAGCTTGGAACAGGGATTATGTTCCCGATCAACTACCCTGGAATGGAGTCGGAGAAAGGCCTCTTGTCTTGATAAGATATTATATTCCGCTGGAAAAGTGATCCAATTCTTGTTTAAACATTTACCCACGTCACTGTTTGGATATTGAAGACTCCTTGTGTTCAAAATGGATCTTAGAAAGGCATCTCATGGATGCTGTTTTTAATTTTTAATTGTGTTTTTTTCCAGAATTGGAATGCACACTAGTAGCTACCCTTTGGTAATCAAACGTGATTTTCCCAGAGCAGCTAGAAACCTGCATTTTGTTCGGGTATTTATGTATTTCCCATTGCCACGTTTGATTCCCAGACTGTATATGATCATAAATCACCATTCATCACTACATTCATCACTAGAATTAATATGAATTAATCAATAATCAGAAACCATTTTAAATCACCCTTTTAAAAGTTAAAGCCTACAAGGTTGATGGTGTCCAATTCTCAATCACAAGAGGGCGAGCCCCAGCTCCGCCAGGTGGGTTCTGAGATCGTGATGATGACCACCAAGGGCGAGGTCCGTCAGGATGACCATGGGCACCATGGAAAATCGGCATGAAAAAATGATTAATAAAAGTCTCTGGAATTTGTAGATTTGTAGATGGAAATGTATGGAAATATGATTTTGCAAGAAGGGTTTCTATGGAAAATGTGATAAAACTGAGTCTGGACATGTCAGATGTTTAGAGACATAATAAGAGATAGTTTGACCATGTTTGACCATGTTTCGATATGATATATATATAATATATGATATATATAATATATGATATATATATAATATGATATATAGAATATAATATGATATAGAATATAATATGATATATATATGATATATATATATGATATATAGATATATAGAATATGATATATATATATATATATGATATATAGAATATATATGATATATATATATATATATATGATATATATATATATATAATATGATATATATATATATTAGATAATATTATATATAATATATAATATAGGATTCTGACAATTTAAAATCCACCTGCATGTTTCTAGCGCAGTCGGAAGAGTTCATTCCGCTTTGTTGGCGCCTGGGAGGCGATTGCAACAGGCATCGCGCAGATGACCACGGCTGTGATCGCATCTGTGGACCATGGGACTGCAGCAGCTGCATGGCTTCAGTTTCTGTTGGAAAGGTAGGTAGTTTCTGTTGGTAAGTATATATAGATCCATCCAATATCATCCAATATCCAATACTGCCAATACTATCCAAGCTCCTGCCCATATCAAATCTGAAACACAGGGAGTTAGCTTGCCATCAAACTATGCACAGATGTAAATGATGTAAGCTTTGGCAGTTCGGCATTGCAGAATATTGCAGAAGGGATTCTGCCAACGTGTCCATTCGCTGAGGTTATCAAACGTGTGATCATGGAACGGGACACCTACAACATGCTGAAGCCTGAGTCTCCAAAAATAGCTGAGCAGTGAGGCTTTACTGGATGTAGGATCTCTAACGGGCGTCTGCCCGTGAACATTCAGGCGTTGGGGTTATGGTCCCCGTTCTAGTGACAAGAAAAAGCTCATCCTTGCTGGCAAGCTGACGGAAAAGGCCTGGAATGGGCATGGTTGCTGATGAGTTTTCTCGACATGACAGCACCTGAGGCAGCACGACAGATGCAGAACCCCCCATGTATCCGCTTTGACATGCTTTGACACACACACACATGCACATATGCACACAATATTATATAAGCATTATATAAGCGAACACACACACACACAGTGACACAAGGAAAGTTTGACTTCGTTCTAGGCGGTTGAGACGAATGAAATTGGCGCTGTGGAGTTCTACTGTAGGGATCAAGTATTAATTATTGAGGATAGAAAGAGATATGCAACAACTCTTTGATGCTGCCAGTGGATTGTCAAAAAAGCCCTCAGGGACAGAACACACCAAAGTGTCATGGCGATGTTGCCATGTCAATGTTGATTCCGAGCGTTTTCCCGTGTTGTTTTTTGGTGCACAGTGCTCAGCACATCTCTGTGACAGGGCAAACCCAACGAGAACACGCCAAAAGCCTGGCTGCTGGGCCAAGGGAGGTGGAGCTATCTTCCAAAGCTCACCTGTGAGGAAGCACAGGCCGAGATGGATGAAGCTTTAAAGGCGATCCGGAGATGGGGATGGGCCCGAAGTCGGGGGATTTGAGGCAGAAAAGATGGTGATTTAATGTGGTTTCACCACGAAAAAAGGGGGTGGATACCCCCAAATTAATCCAAATTATGGAAAGTTGATGATGGACCATGGGAAGTACCATGGGGTTCCCAATCTTGAGGCAGCCGCGGCAGCCCCACATGTTCACCGCACAATAGGCAGTTGCCAAGACAAAGAAAAAGAAGGTGATTGAAGAGGCAAGGGCACAATGTGGATTTTGGTAGACCGATTTCGGCAGTCTTTGAAGATGTTTGAAGCCATTATCATCAGCAAAAAATCACCCAAGTCTATCAGAGGAGGCTCAACAGCTTTGGCACCTGCCATGGTAGGTGGAGGAGGCTGAAGAGGCTTAACCCGACACGACAGATGATGACAGCTAGGGCAGTGGAGAATGGACCATGATGATATCATGATGCAAATTGAGACAATGGGTGATAGGATGTCATAGGTGTCCGAGATTGTCAGAGTTTCGTTCATTTGAGTCTCAGTTGCTCTGTTCATGTTCACTTGATTTGCAGTAAAAGCAATCGGTCCAGTGTATTTGATGTATTTTGATGTACGGTGTCAGCATTGCGATTTTGAAATCAAACGAATCAATCAACCCTGAAAGGTGCAGCCTGTCAAGAAGAAGAAGCGGAAGGTGGGTGCCGATCATGATGATCTCGGAGGTGGTGCCAAATTTCATCCCAAGGATGATTTGTTTGACTATTGACATCTGGGTATGGATCAATACCTATTAATACCATTTTTAGGGGGATGAACATCCATTTACCAGCTATTTTGATGTTCACTAGGTGCCAGGGTTTTGACCCATCCCCATTTGTTGACTATGATACAGAACAAATCGGCATTGCCATTCGGCATCTTGGGATCCAGATCCATGGCGCTTACTCCCTATTTTTCGTGTTTCATGCCCTTTCAGAAGAGCAAGTTCTGCAAAGTGTCGCCTGATCGGATAATACACCAACTACATCTACTTAAATTAATTGCGAATAATTATAAACATATTTTTGCCGATATGATATAGACGATGGTTACGAGGTAATGATTGTAGTGAATACCCTCAATTCCCATTTTGAAACACCTTTTTTGAAGCACATTTCTTGGCATTGTAAGCCCAACTGATTCCAATATTCTTTGTTGCCAGGAGTAGATGAGAAAACCGCTTATTCCGCAGTGAAAGTGATGTCTCTGGAGAAAGAAATCCGAAACTATTGATATAGTCTTGGATCTGCGCATGAAATCAAGTTACAACAATTTATCATTTGCTTGGCAAAGAAACGCACAGATATAGCTGCTGATAAAAGCAACGGAGATAGATTAATGATTAATTAGATAGATATCATAGCACCTCACCGACCATAGCTATGCTTATTCGCTGATTCGAATTTCTTTTCCCCGCTGATGCTACCACATGGAAGCAAGCAGGCTTCCGCGATTCTCACCCCATCTGTTGTAAATAGAGAGCTGGCTGAGTCCATTTGGCATGAGGTGGATTTGTAGTCTCCATTCTCCATAATTTGTCCATTGGATCTATAATATTCTAGAGTGATTTATATAATTCCAAAAACTTAAACTTTTCAAGATCTTTGACATGACCTGATATATCCATATATATCCTGATATTAATTTGGGGGTTCAACCAACATCAAATTGACACGGAGACTTGCGCTGTTGGGCCAGCGCTGCGGCGCTGTGGCCCGCGCCTCGCCACAGGGCTAGAGTCGGACGGGCAGCCGCTGATCGTCCTCGAATGCGGTCAACTGCATGACCCCAACAATATACCTCCAGTTGGGGATGGTTTATACCACGTACATTTCCGGTAAAATGTGGGGATGGTTCATGACTGAATCACGAAATTCAGGTTTGTGGATGATCATATATTAATTCCAGGTTACCACTATCAGGTCACTATCATATATTGATCCAGAATCACTGGTTTATACCACTTTCTACACACCAGGCCGTCACTAGGCTGTCCAAAACGTGTAGCTCCTTTGTGAGAGCCCAGCGTCGAAAACGGGAGGGCCGATGGTTGAAGGTGATTATGCGTGGAAATCCGTTGATATTTGTGTGTAATAATATAGTACATAATATATATATATATACATACGTTTATATGTATATGTTGTATAAGATGTATCAGATCTATTTAGTGTTTTCATTCTTATGATTATGATGGCCATGGTCAAAATTTTGGTCGATTGCGTAAATTGCCCACATTGGGGGATGATCATCAATCCGTTAATAGGAGTTTATATCCCCAAGATAGATGTTCATGATGGGATGCATGACCAGACCCCATATACATCCATATACTTTGCTTTGACTGTTGCACATGTGTATATATATATACATATATTGTATATATATATATATACATATATTGTATATATATACATATATTGTATATATATATATATCTACATATTGTGTATATATTATACATATTGTATACATATACATATATATATATATTGTATTATGTATATACATACATACGAGTATATATATATGATATATGTATATATATATATGTGACATGCATACATATGACATTATGACATACATGTTATAATATATGACCGACATGTATATATATATTATATTATGTAAATGACCTGTGTCAAATATATGTATATATACATATATATATATATATATATACATGATAATCTTATATATACCATGCGTTTATTAAGATATGGTCATCTATATATATATATATATATTATGATACATTATGATACATCACTGTATTTTTTGATATACCATGATACACTATGATGCATCATGGCAACCTGCGACTATGACGGTTGCTATCATTATTGTGTGTCCATATGGACAACTGATTGTGATATTGTGATCTTATTTGTTCAGTCAGGGTTTGGAGCTCCCAAAGGGGCACGGAAGGTGCTGGAGAGTAGTCTGCCGGCTTTTGATGTCAAGCTGGGTAGGCGATGTGCTTCTCAAAAAGCGGCAGTGGCTGCATCTATCCTGCAGACATCATACATTCACAAACCCATAAAGACATATAAACAGAGTGCATTCATTCACGTCTGACACATGTCCCTTTCCTGCTTGTCTAGATAGCTGTGACAAGTTGATGTTTGACAGGAATGTGTTGGTAATCCCCAAGGCCAAGGCCACGTGTTGTCACAGAGACAGCCCGAGACCTCCAGTCACTCTCCCTGCTGGCAGCTTTCCGGCCTGGAGCCTGGTACTTTGGGGACCCAAATCGGTCCTTGAAAAAGGTCGATTTGTGGATGGCAAAGATATCCTGGTTGAGATACCCTCTGGTAAATAAACATAGACCCTGAAAATCACCAATTTTTAATGGAAACTAGTCTTCCAACCCCTATCTGCCAGGGTCGATGTTAATTTACCAGAGGGTATCCTTCATTCATTATCAGGTGACCAGACAGCTGATGAGTCTTTGTGCAACTGCATGGAGGGCCTTCAAACTGCATTTTTTATAGGCTGCACTCAGTACTGTGAGACTGTATGGATTGGATTTGAGTCCGGTTTTCATACGCTTTCATATGTTTTCATGTTCAATCATGTTCAAATATGTTTCATACCAACCAAGCCCATTCCCAATCCCAAACCATTTTTTGGCTTCAAATCTGCAGCCACGTGGAGCTCAGACCCAACGGGCCGTGCAGGCTATCCCTTTGAATCAGATGTCCGGCTCTCCGGGCGACGGTGGCGACCTGGGTGACCCAGATGGGGGACATTTGGGGAAGGCCACCTTCGGCGCCAGAGAAGTGACATGGGAGAGTCACGGCATTCAAAGTGGTGTAGACATTGACATCGCCATCATGCTGAGAGATGAGACTCGCAAAGTGCAAAAATCGATGTATGAACTCTTTGCCAAACAATCCGATGTTCTGGCAGAGCTTCAGAAACAAATATCGTCCATAGCACATCAGCAGGTCACAGCAGCTTGGCAGAAATGTATGCAAGGCAGTGAACAAAAACTGGAAAAAACACATATCAAAACCCATGCTTCTTTAATGGAGCTTGTATGTATTGTACCAATGGAGTTGGGAGTCGGGAGAGTCAACAGCAGAGGAAGCCAAGTCCCCTGTGTTCTGTCCTGGAAATTCAAAGAAATTAATCAATCGATGGAGATTGAAAGAACTTGATGGAGCTGTTGACACAATTGCTACTAAGAGCTACCACCAGATAGTGCCCGGCCCGCGCCGGAGCGGAAGTTTCGAGCATTTAAAATGGCAATAAGAAAATCGATGGCCTATAGATGCCTATAGGAACGTTTTGAGATGCAGAAGCAATGAGCTGCTGAAGTTGTGAGGTGCATGAACAAAAAAGCAAACGCAAATGGTGGTTGAGATGCCAGTGAAAGACATGGAAGAATCCGTGCACAACTGACTGAACGAACCAATGACCCAGTGAAGCAATGAATCAACAAATCAATGAATCAACGGTACAGTGAACCAAGGAATCATGAATCAGTGAATGAGTGAGTTGGTGAGTCGATGAAAGAATGAATCAAGGAATCAGTGAATCAATGAACCGCTGAATAAATGAAACGATGACTCAGTGAACCAATGAATCAAGTAGTGAGTGAGTTAGTGAGTCCATGAATCAATGAACGATTGAAGCAATGAACCGATGATTCAGTGAGTCCATGAATCAATGAACGATTGAAGCAATGAACCGATGATTCAGTGAGACAATGAACCAATGAATGAGTGAGTTAGTGAGACCATGAATCAATGAGTCCGTGATTCAGTGTATCAATGAACCAATGATTCAGTGAATCACTGAATCAGTGACTCAATGTTTCAGTGAATCAATGAATCATGAACCAATGAATGAGCAGCTGTTGCAATGCGTTGTGAGTTTAACAACCTCCAGCCTCCAGCTGCAATCCCGCAAAGCAGGAGAATCGCAGCATCACTAGCGCTGTCCTGCGCGCAGCCGTATCAATGCGTTTTGTCACAGCCAGTTGCAAACCCGCAGGATCGTCACGCCAAGTTGACCATCATCGTTCGCGCAGCGTCGCCAGTGCGAACCCAACCACACAAATCTGGGGCTGCTCCGAACGCCTAAGTTTTCCACGATGTTTCTCTGAAATCGAGCAATTGCACATTTTTCCAACCTCATCTTCCAAAAGTGCTCGGAACGTTACAGTTTTTTTTTTACCATTTTTGAGTACAAATCAAGCTTATTTCTCGAATCGAGGTGAAACCGCGGAAACACAGACCCAAAAAATCGGCGACCCCAGGAGCCTCGAGCCTTCGCGCCCGAAAATATGTTCACCCGTGGGTTCACAACTATACTTGATGATGGGGTTGACACAATGATGTGATTGACATGATGGAATGCTAGCTGCTAATCAGCTAATCATAACCATCGTCCGTAATTAACTCGGAAGTTTTCAAACTAAACTTGCTTTTATCATTGCTACTGCTTATGGATGCTTGTGGCGCGTTGATCCAGAATGATCTCGTCTCTGAGGCCGCACATCTCTCAACGCAGATCCTGCCACCCGATCCGTCGAGTGCCATCGACCTGCTTGATCAGTCTCCTGATGGAACGAGATCTCAGATATCTGCGGACGCTTCAAGAGGCTTGAAATCACAGGATAGTTTGACGGTTCTTGGCCAAGGCAATGAGGAGGAAGACACATTGGAGATCAAGAGTCCAGGCGTGGCAATGCCAGCTCTCAAACCTCGCCTTAATTCGTGCGCCTCCGAAGCCCAGAAGCATCACAGTCAGAATTTCATCTTTGGAGCAGCTTTCAAAGTTGCCCGCTCGCACATTTTTTCGACTTTCATCATGCTGGTCATTGCCTTCAATCTACTTATGATGGGCATTGAAGTAGATGCAACCAGTGCGCTGAAACCGGGTGAGCCCACTCCGGCGTTCTTTTTGGTCTGCAACATCGCCATTGTGGTCATTTTCATCTTCGAGCTGACCATCAAGTTTTTGGCCTACGGGCCGAGAGGGGTCTTGCTGGGCCCAGAAAAATGGTGGAATCTCTTCGATATCATCATAGTGATCACCTCGATCATCGAGACTATCCTGGATATGGAAGCTTGGAATCACTTGGAGCTCCAATCTGACATAAGTACAAGATGATGGTATAAGTGTTTGATGGTTCTTGGTTGGCCATACCGGTGGAGGTTAAAAAGCATATTGATTTCATCACAAGAATCATCCGTGGTTTGCTCCCCACAATGTCTTGCAGTTGGCACAACTATAGTCGAGTTTCTTCCTAGCATCGAGCGTCACCATCCACCCTGATCTTCGATATCACAACGGGATATGATGGGATATGTCGTTGTTAAAGGATGTGACAATGATATCAATGATTCCAAGTCTCAGTTTACATAACCTTCAGCGCATCTTGCGCCCCAAACTGCCTTGCCTGCGCTCCACCGGCTTAGCCATGCTTAACCAAGGTCACCCAAGCATCTTTTTCGAATGGCCTTGATTCCAGTCACTTACGTGTGATGCGGGTGGTTCGCCTTGCACGTGCCTTGAGAGGCATCCGAGTCATGAAATTGACACTTGGGCTTTGCTGTCGCCTCGGCAACGCACAAAACCAGGAATCAAACTTCTGGATCTTCACAAGTTTTTCGCTCCATTTATTCTATGCTCTGTCGCCATCTTTCTACTTGAGGTAGTCTCGTTGTTCCGGATGTTTGTTTCGCTCTTGCCGGGAACAAGCCAATGGCATCTAAGGATTCGCTCCATTGGAGCCCTTCGATCCATTGTACTAGCAATCGTAAGCACACTATGGTCACTGGTTTGGACTTTGGTTTCCTGGTCGAACAAGGACGAGCTAAAAAAGCTGGTAACTGGGAGTGCCGAGGTCCAGATGTTCGCTCATGTTCGCTCATTCTGCTGCAGGGAAAGCTTGAACAACTAGTCTTAAACCTAAACCCTAAACAAGTGGTTTCCATCAAACGGAACCAAGTAAGCTCGCAGAAATCAGAGTTGCAATGGACAGCCAGGCTGTCTTTTCTGAGAGATTGAGTGAAGATGATTGAAGGCTTAAGTGGTAATCCGAATTCACTTCTGCCCAGGTTCTCCTCGTGATTCTTTTCTATGTCTTCGGTGTGATTCTGGCGTCCCCTGGTGAACTTCTGGCAGCGCCTGACAGGTGGTGCGACTCATGGTCACCTTACCAGCCTTACCAGCCTTACCAGCCGCACGCCGAGGCAATTGGTGTCGGATGGTTGCAGCACAATTCAAGCTGCCAAGCTCAACTGATGAATTTCAGATGTCACACTGCATCGTTGAACAGCCACACTGCCCCATGTTTTTTTTTTTCGTTTTTGGTCTTCTCTTTGACTGATAGCTTCTAGATGCCTGTGATGTACGTGTGCATAAGCAATTCCAACAAGGCTGATGTAGTGAATTGCGACACATTGAATCACATGCGATATTGGTCCACAGTGTCAGACTCTTGGTTGCAAGAGCAGTTTGGTTGAATGGACGTGCAACTCGCTATTGTCCGTGATGATGATGACTTTGGTTGAGGCACTTCGTGAGTTCCTGTGGTCCTTGCTTGTTTGTTTGGATGTTGTTATGATATGCCGCTGTTGCGACAATAGTTCTACTGCATGCATTTGTGCGAGCATTTGTTATCCCATCAATTAGTCTCATATTGTCCAGGATCCTGCGAGCATGAAGGCATCCTATGATGTGGCGTGTCAATAGGCCACCCAATAAAAACATCACTGGTTCAAAACTTGAGTCCCCCCTTGGTTTATTGAGTTTTAGTGGTCGTTTTAAAAGCACACAGCAACAAACAACAAACAACAAACACACAAACAACAACCAACCAACCAACCAACCAACCAACCAACCAACCAACCAACCAACCAACCAACCAAACAAACAAACAAACAAACGTAACAAACTAACAAACTAACAAACAAACAAACAAACAAACAAACAAACAATCACATACAATCACATACAATAACAAACAATAACAAACAATAACAAACAAAAACAAACAATAACAAACAATAACAAACAATAACAAACAATAACAAACAATAACAAACAATAACAAACAATAACAAACAATAACAAACAATAACAAACAATAACAAACAATAGCAAACAATAACAAACAATAACAAACAATAACAAACAATAGCAAACAAACAATAGCAAACAAACAATAACAAACAAACAATATCAAACAAACAATAACAAACAAACAATAGCAAACAAACAATAACAAAAAACAATAACAAACAACCAACGACCAACAACCAACGACCAACAGCCAACGGCCAACAACCAACGACCAACCACCAACCACCAACTACCAGCAACCAACGACCAACAACCAACGACCAACCACCAACGACCAACAACGACCAACAACGACATCAACAGCAGCAGCAGCAACAACAGCAACAGCAACAACCACAACCACAACCACAACACTAGTCACAACCACAACCACAACCACAACACCAGCAACAACAACAACAACAGCAACAACAGCAACACCCAACAGCCAACAGCCAACAGCCAACAGGCAACAGCAACCAACAACAACCACCAACAACTAAAAAACAAAAACCAGCAGCCAACAACCAACACCACCACCACCGCCACCACCACCAACAACAACAACAAGAAGAAAAACAACAAGAACAACAACAGCCACAGCCACAGCCACAACCACAACACTAATCACAACCGCATCTGCAACCACAACACCAGCAACAACAACAACAACAGCAACAACAGCAACAACGAACAACCAACAACCAACAACCAACAACCAACAACAACAACAACAACAGCAGCAACAACAAAAACATCAAAAACACCAACAGCAGCAACAGCAGCAACAGCAGCAGCAGCAACAAGAGCAACAACAACAACAACAACAACAGCAACAATTGCAACAACAGCAACAACAACCGCAGCGACAGCGACAACGACAACGACGACGAACACGAACTATCATGAATTCAAGTAAAGCATGGTAACAGCCAACCTTTGTTTTTTTGATCCAACCTATATTCATATTATGTTTTTCGTTTGTTTTTGGGTTCAAAGGAGAGCATGCTGACCTTGTTCCTCTCGATCTCGGGCGGTGTCAGTTGGATTGAAGCCCTAGATCCCTTGAGAACCTTGGATATTGGGTGTGAAGGCCCATGTGGTTTTATGAGGAAACATGAACAGTGTTCAATACCCGGTTGATAAGTTGATGATTACAAATGACTATAATGGATTTATACTAAACAATATTGGGGAATATCACAATCCATTAAAGGAATCTCTATTAACCAACCCGCAGCGCAAAGCCCTGACGCAGAAATGGTCTGTCCTCTAAAATTTGTTGTGATTCTGAGCGTCAAAATGTTGGTTGTTGGTGATGGTAACAACAGAATGCACGTACAACAAAATATTTTTTTAAGGGGGATTTTTATAGCCAGCAATATACGATGGTTTTTGGAAATAATGGGATATACTAGAATTTAATGTCATTTAATGGGCCATAGGCCTATTTATTGGGATATGTATAGCCTGTATAGCCAGCAATGTGATATGGATCTGTCCAAACGCTGGGGATTTATCTCAAGTTATGGCAGTTATGGACACTTTAAGGGAGTGGTTGTTGGATTTTTTTGAGTGACCTATTCTCACAGAAACCCATAAAACGCCTCTAAAAAGGGATTCAGACATGGAAAAGTGAGAAACACTGTCGTGAACTTCGTGAATATCTGAAGACGAGAAAAATGGATGACCCAAGTCTCGCAGCCGTGTTGGTAGTGTGAATGCAGCAGCACATAGCAGCTCTCCAAGAACACTGGCCAATGCACACACCAAAATCGCTACATGTAGAGCATGTAATTGTTTGTTTGTTCATTCTATAGAATATGTTCAACCCCGTTGCCCCCTTGGGCCCAAAGATTGCCCGAATAAACCCGATTATTACCAGTATTATTATATCTATTACATCATAAAATAGTTGTTATATTGTCACGAAAGCTAGCTGAAGTCCCCTCTTGCTTTAGCAAGGTACTGGGGGGGCTGGAATGGTTCACAAGTAGTTGGACTAGTTTGGCCGTGGCGAAAAATCACCCCGGGTACACCTTCAGCTAGCTTTCCGGCCTCAGCCGTATTGTTTGATGGATGTTTTATGCACCAAAATCATCCAGAATCAACGCTTTGAAAAGACATGAAAGGACTGACCTTCAAATCTTCGCCCATCTTCGTCCTCGAAAAACTCAGGAACCATCTCAAGCCTTGCCGCTTTTGCCTTCATCGCGTATGTATTTGTGTCAATTTTTGCCATTTTGAACGCAACCTGACGTTGAATTTGGTGATTCATTGATGGTATCTTTGATGTGTTTTGATGTTTTTGTGGACGTTTTTTTTTGGGGATAAGATGACATATGACAGAGCCTCGTTGGACAAACATACATTTGACAGAAAGAACTTCGGACTTGGGGTCAGTCGGATTGCACAGAGCCCATCCTGACAGTGTCCATAGGTGCAGCATGGTGCAGCGCATGCTGGAACCGTGATGTGCATGCTTCATACAAACTGAGACGATTTGTCGCATTGGTTCCTAATTATTTGAAACTTCTTGAATGGTGCTGGATGTTCTGAACATTTCTGAAAACCGCCCGCGAGGTTGTCACCGGTGTATTCTGTGTCCGAGTTGCATCAAATTTTGAACAGATTGAACAGTCAAAATTTACTTTTTTGGGATGCGTTGCGATCTTTGGGTGACTTGCTCTTTGTTCTTTTTGGAAATGTAATCACAAAAGACACATCGTCCAATGTTGTTTGCCGGGGTATGTGTATGCAAGGTCACCGTGCTATCGAGAGTGCTCAAGCAGACAAGGACAATTTGCTGGTGTTCGACACAAAATGATTAACACATAGTCGAAGTAGTCATGACATTCTGAGTTTCTACTCCATGTAGAAGGATTTGTACTGTTTGTTGATTTGGTGGATGCATGTAGATGCATCTCAAATGTCTCAAATAGTTTGCTGCAGGAGATAGCAATCATGAAACAAATGGAATGGAAAGAAAGTCAGCTACGAGCTTTAAAGGGCGTGCCTTGGCAGATCTATCAAGGGACATCCTGGATATATCTGGATATCTATGGATATCTCGGATCTGAAGGCTAAGAAGCCTAGCCTTCCCAGCAAGCTGATGTTTTGCATGCAAAATTACTCAAAATTAGAGAGACGGTCCTGAGCAGTTGGCATCAGAATCAGGAGTCGCAGATAATGCAACGTCGTAGTATGAATTGGCGATGTTTTCATGGCCTAACAATATATCTCCCTTTCGCAGTTGTTTGGCCAATGTTTAGTCGTAATTTCCAGCGCATTTCGTTAGCAGGCCCCGACAAGAGGGCTATGTTTGCCTTCGTTGGTCTTCTGACTGTCATGTGCAACACATCGTAACACTATCTATTTGTCCTGACATCTCTCAACCTTAATCAATCACTATAAACAACTATCATACTAATTATAGCTGTTTCCCATCAACTCATTATATCTCATTATCATAAATCATAAATTTCTATTATGAATCAACTGCTATCATATATCCCAGTTATATACCCATTATGAGTGTTTTGAACCTCTCCTGTCAGCAGGTCTTCATAGAAATTGATGATGATGGCTCAGAAACAATCACCTCGAACGAGCTAGAGGCTGGATGTCTTTGAGGGATATTCTCTTGCATTTATGGTGATGAAAAATTGTGATGTGATGGTGATTTATTACTGGTGATTTTGATGGTGATTTATATAATGCATTAGAATTGATTTTACTGCTTGGTTGCTGCGGGTTCCTGTCATGGATCATTCCATAGCATCAATAACCCCCGATTTTATCCATGTAGTACAGGCGCCCCAAGACTGACATCGCGAGAGGCAGCCATGAACAAGCCTGCACTGATGCACCAAATGGAATCTATGGACATCTCAACCAGAGATCTTCGAACACTCTTCAGGCAAGAGGTACCCTCTGGTTATGTCAACAGTTGGCTATTGAACATGGTGATAGAAATAGTGGATTTACCCATTAAAAATTGTGATTTTCAATAGCTATGTTAGTTTACCAGAGGGTATTGCTCTTGGGAATCTCAGTTGGGGAATGCAATCGATAACAAGAGTAATGGGTTTAGTCTCGTTGAGCCAAAAGGATCCAAAAGGGCTCTATCTCACATATATCATTCCCTTCCAAACTAAGCTACATGTACATGTGATATCCATATTATCCATTGATATTCTATAATTGAATCAGGTCACCACAATTGAGTGCGCCCATTGCGCATTGTTCTCGGGATGGCTTGGGCGGCTGGGCATTAGAGTTTTGAAGTTGATGTGTAGAGCCAATGAATCGTCCCCAATACTACCATAATTTTAAATACATGGTTGGTAAAAACCATGGCGCAAATAGTAGTTGTTTATGGCACTGGGTTTATCATACAAACATCAGATCTCCTTCATGCAGATTGATCTGCACACAAAATCCTATGCAACATGTCAAGTCATCTCAGCACATGATGGTGACTGGTTTGGTCATGCTGCGCAAGAACATGTAAGCGCTGTCCAACAAATGTTGAACGCGGCACTTCTTCTTTCCTTGACTTCATGCACGTTGGATTCCGCGTAAGTTGAGCAACGCTGCTTGTGGTGTAAGAACTCAATTGATCTATGGGTAGAGAGCAAGAGAAGATAGCAAACCTCTGCCAAAAAGTGTGCAAAAAGTGACGAACTTGCATGAACTTGCAGGGAAACTTGTCAAGCTATTCCACAGGGTCCAAGTCTTCTGAGACCTTGCTTGGTTTTGTGCTGAGGGCCTGGTTCCACATGTTTAACCAGTCCATTTGACCTTTGCCTGATCAATTTAATTCTGCCGAAGGTTTCAGACTTTATTTCTATACATGAGCCGTGCAGTGCCAGTGAAGACGGAGTGCAAAGGCGATGCATTAGTCATCTCCCAACGGTCATGATGCATTGGTATCGGGGTCGTTGGGGAACGGGTGGCAGGAGATGCTTGGTATCGGACGCTGTCCGTGCGCGCTTTAATCAGCGTCCTGTCCGTTCCTAGTGTGGGCGCTCGTGTGAGCGCGACAGGGCCGGCATTTTTTTTTGCTCATAAACATCCAAACATGACGACAAGCGGCATCTGACTGCGTTATATGTTATACAACCGGAAACGTAGTGATTGCTTGTGTCGGTAGAATGGTGTAGACATGAGGGCTTGCTGCGAGTGACCGTCTCCACGGAGCCTTCATCGCAGTGGGACCGCTGCGATCTGCTCAGCTTAGATGAGACACATCTGAATGCTGTGGAAAACAAAAAACATGTTTGCAAACATTACAACCGAAAGCCAGCCGGTAGGCAAGGCCACAGTTGGGTTTTGCAGGCAAAGTCATATGTGGCAAAATCCAACTTCAATACAAGATTGAACCTTAATACAAATCTCAGGTGCATTTGAAGGTCGAGGCTAGATGGATTTGTGATGATTTGTAATGGCAACCCCAGCCTAAGGGCAACAAAAAACAATAGTATTCCACGGGAAATTGTATACAGATAATCACAGATAATCACAGAATCTTCTAGGTATATCGACCCCGATCCACATGGATCCACCATATCACCACAAGGGGCTGCGATGGCTGCAGGATCATGGACTCTGACGGCAGCGGCGAAATTTCGTTTGAAGAGTTTATTGATGGCTCCTGGATCTTCAATTGCTACATGTTTTTTTTTCTCGTCTTGAGATTTGCTCGTTTCCAACATTTCCATAACGATTGTTAATTGACATGCTCGGATGTTTTGAAAAGGTTCTCCTTAAACTTTATTGGCCAGACTTTTTTCTGGAAGTTGCGCCCGAATGCGGTTATTTGCGCTCGATTGCGCTTATTTGCGCCCGAACTTGCGGCTAGTTTTTTTGCTCCAAATCGCTCTCAGATATTGGCAATGCTCGCTATTTCTGCTAATATATTTAGATAACGAGCCTGGATATATGCTCGAATGACCAAAAAGTATAAGGTGGCACAAACTAATGTAATGATTGAAAATGACTGAAAACCCAGGTTGTATGCATCTTCAAGGAACTGCTCAGAGCCTTCAGGCGCGGGACATCGCGGAATCTTTGTAGAAAGGATGGACAAAAATGGACCAAGGATGTTTGATGATTTTTTGAACCATGGATGTTTCACGTTTGAAGTTTGGTGATGTGGGAATGATTTTCGTTATACCAGTGGATTTGCAAAACATGACACACTGAGGTTGAGGATTTTCGGCGCGAGTTCCGGTTCTTGTGCAAAGACATTGCAAAAATAGGCTGGGCGGAATCGGAGCAGGGCCAAATGAAGGGAAATGATGTATTTGCTTCAAGTAAGTTGTGATTAACGATTTACTATGATTTACTTAACTTACAGTAATCACTCTGACTCTATTCTACAACATGTCTTTTTGGCGCATTCGAGCAGGTTGAATTTTGAGGTGGGAATGAAACGATTGAAACGTGGGTGTGGTTGAAAATAAAATGCCACCAAAATTTACTCTGATTTTTACCGTTTCAATAATTGTGGTGCCCTACCCTACCCCATGAACAGACGCAGCCATAGGTTCAGAGCTCTCACAAGTGCGAAGGCAGCTCTCTTGGTCCTTAACGCCTAAGGCGATCTAAGGCGCTTGACACATCATAGTCGTGGATTTGACTGGACGCGTGGAAGCACGCTTCCAGTCATTCCAGTCACGCAGAAAATCATATGGGGAAAAAAAGACAAGGCAGCATCGGCAGCATCTGGAAATATCTGAAATGTTGGGAGATCTATAGTTTTTAGGTGAACAGTATCACAGCAAAGATATGAGACAAAAAATTTGTGGCGTGGAAAAGGGGCATGTGTCATGCGGGTGTTTGATTCATCGGACGCTGCAATGGACTGAGGTTGAACCCAGAGCTGAGCGCCCATCTAGAGTTGGGTTGAACCTTCTGAAGCGGTTTCACAGCTCTTCATGCAGATTCAAAAATGATCAGCTGTTTGGGTCCCACCTGGCTTCGTCATTTGTTGATGTTTTGCTGCGGCTGAGCGATACAGAACTCGATGTCTCTGGCTGCGCACTGAAGCTCCAGGCCGCTTTAATAAATTACACGTCTCACAGACACAACTTGAGAGGTTTGACAACTGCTGGAATATGCTGGATTTCTTGATGGCCATGTTACCTTCATGAATATAAAAACTATAAAAACAAGACAAAGCGCCATGTTACCTTGCAGAGACTGGGAAAGGGTTCTGCATTGGTTTCAACAGAGCATAAATCTATATATGCAAATGTGCCTTTCTTCCCATATGATAGGTTGTTCGTGGCAGAACTCCCTTAGCCAAGAAAACATTTATGAGCCCTAGAAGGGTGACAAAATATGACAATACATCCCTTTCTTGTCTCGCTAAGCTTAAGTGCATGTAAGTCCTGATCTTGTCCAAGCACATGCCGTCCGGCCCCGAGTTGCTCGACGTTGGCTGATGAACGACAGGATCGCGGATTGGTGTAGGAAAAATGAAGAACGCATACCCTGTAAGACATTGCAAGACACTGGCGCAATAAGCCGATTTAGATACCTGACATTCCCCGACATTCCCTGTCACTGAGCGTATCCGACCATCTTGCTGGCCATTGCTGTTTTTGAGGCAAGGCCATCGGAGGTCCCAAACCTGGTGTAGAAAGGGTTGCGTTTTTTTTTTTGCATCCGCTGTTTGCAATTTGAAGCACTAGATTATCGGATTTTCATTGGATTTTATTCATATGCATTCTGATGATGTGTATATATATATATATATTATATAGATAATAACATGTATGTGTATGTGTATATATATAATATGTATTACATTTGTAGTTTGTTCTGCAAGAAACCAAAGGAGTTCAGAGTGATGACCATGTTGTTACTTGCGATGCAGCCACTTGCCTCGAGCTTCAAGTCCTTGGCAGGACACAGCACTTTCGAAGGTGCATGTGGAATACTTCAGAACAGCAAAATGCAACGCAGAGCTGCACTGCTGCACCATTGGTAACCAGACTGTGGAACTGTGTAGCACGCTACAAATGACTTTTTGCATTTAAGCGAAGCAAAACACTGAAACACATCATCATTAACCATCATTAACCATCATCAACCAATTTCCAGTGGTGGAAGCCAAAGGCGCTTGCACCGCTGTGCACTTTGGGCGATCTGGAAGCTGCTGGGCCAGACTGGGCCACTTGGAGATCGCTATGTTGATCAAGTGGGTTTATGGGTATCCCGATGTATCCCGTGGGTCCATCGTTGCCATGGGGACCAAAGAATTCTGTCAAAGCTGGCATTCAAGACCCATCAAGAACCACCCAAGGGTGGCCATGTGAACTGCACGGAAAAAAAACACTTGTGAAAGGTCGTTTTTCAACGTGCCATATCCATGAATGATGATCTGGCTAAGCTCTGTGCTGAACGGAGTTGTACTTTGTAAGCAATGATCAAAAAGTGACAGTTGTGGATGTTCGCAAGGTCCTGTATGTTTTCGTTTGGATCTGTGGTTGGTACAGATAGTGCAGATGGTGCAGTTTGGCAGTTTGATGTGATTTCCAGTTGTATATCCAGGTCTGTGCCAGGCAACTAGCATGAGTCGCGGTCTCACCCTTAACTTGTTTTAAGTTAAGCACCTGAGACTGGCACTGAAGCTCAAAGCTAGTCGTCCTTGGATGAATCATGGCAACATGATTCGGTACCAACCAGGCGATGCCCTGCAGCGCAACACACCAAAAACCATACCACGTGTCATCAACCTGTTGGCTCCCCCAGCACCACCACAATGGCAACAACATATCCAACTCTCACAGCTCAAAAGCAACGCAGAGACTTGCAATCTTGCAATGAAAGGGTTGGACCATGACATCAAGATGACATGAAGTTACATAAAGTACGAAGGACTGTCTTCATATCAACATCTCTGAACAATCCCCAGATGTGCTGGGTTGAGGGTACTAAGGTAGTAGTTGGTTGATATGTTTTCCGGTCTCCAAACTCCCCATGTCCATCCATGTCCCATGTGCGCATTCGGCCCAGGCCAAATCTCTGAGCCATTGGGCCATGGCTATGTACCGAGAAGCTTGTGTGGACATGGACAATCCCCATCAAGATGTGCAAGGTGATGCTCTGCGGGAAGAGACGCGGAAGCTTCAAAGGCCGGCCTCGGAAGGGTCGACCTGGTTTGGTGATGTGCTGGTTATATTCTCAGGCTTTGAAATTAGTGGTTGTATCCACGATTATCCACGTTTGAATGGAAAGGTGGAGCGATAGATAAGCGGTGCAACTCACTGAAGAGGTTGTCAGTGCATGTTCAAATCAAAGTGTTGCTATCCTGCGCTGGCAGCCTCAAGGGGGAATATCTGAAAGAATTGCTACTCTGATTATTGTCATCTGAAACACTCTGGGACCATCATGAAGTCTGAAGTCTGAAGGTATATGGAGGAGCAATTCGCACAGCAGGGGAAGATCCTACAAGAGTTGAGGACTCAACTGCGATTCATGGTGCGCGACGAGGCGGCCTCAAGGCTCTCGGCGTTTCCAGAGATGGTCGAGGTCGCTGGCGACTTGGATGACTTGGCTCCCCTTGGAGTTTCCAAAGATTCGGATGAGACTCGTCAAGAGCAAGATGTTGGTCACAATGAGGAGGAGCCACCAGCCTGGGATCCCTGCTGGGATCCTGAGATGCGGGAAAAGCTGAAGGAACATCAACGCCAGGCAGCACGGCAGCTCCCTCTCCAGCTTCAGCAAGTTCTTTCGGACATTTTTGGATCCCCTGGTCGCGCAGAGGTTTTGATTAAATCGAAACCTTAGGTAGGAGATACTCAGAAAAGAGAAGTTTGGGTATGAAATTGTAAAGCAATTTCAATACATGTGCATAATACCCTCCGGGGATGCGAGCAGTCCGCGAGAGGGACGCGTGCTCATTCGGTGCGAGCGAACAAGAACAGAGTGGGAGCGTACGAAGAGCAGTGCTCTGGTGGCCCTTGCCCGTGTGCCCGTGGATCGGGGTTGTGCCCGTGTGCCCGTGTGCCCGTGTGCCCGTGGATCGGGTTGTGCCCTGGTGCCCGTGTGCCCGGGCCAGCGACAGGTCCAGAAGTCCAGAAGTGACACGCTTGTCGGCAGTTGCAGTCTGTCTTTTGATTCCCCAAACAGTTTGTCCACACTGAGGGGTTCTTACGGTAGGTGTAAAGGCAGGTGCCTGATCTGGGTGCTCCTCACTCTGGTCTGCGGCGTGCTACCTGTAAATTTCCGTATGGTGCGGCTCTTGTGACATGTTGAAGTGCATTTCGACTGCGCAGGCTCGCACAAAGTGTATGTCTGCGTTCTGGCCTCATGGGTCTTCCTCCTCAACATCCTCCTCCTCAACATCAACTTCTTCCTACTCAACATCAACATCATCATTTTCCTCTCCCTTGACACCAACTTCAATCGACTCCGCAGTACACAGCGGATGTTCCAGCTAGGAATGTTTGATTGGTAATTAAAACTTCCCAACTGGCATGTCATGACGATGTCCTAGGACATCCTAGGACTGATATGTGCCCGTGTGCCCGTCTATCTGTGTATTGACATTGATCTCTCTTTCTCTTTCTCTTTCTCTGTCTCTCTCTCTCTCTCTCTCTCGCTCCCTCTCCCTCCCTCCCTCCCTCCCTCTCTCTCTCTATCTCTCTCTCTCTCTATCTGTATCTCCGTCTCCCTTTCTACTTTTTGATTTATCCTTATGCTTATGCAGCATCTATATGTCTGTGTGTCTGTCTTTCTTTCTTTCTTTCTTTCTATCTAATCTATCTATCTATCTATCTACCTATCTATCTATCTATCTGTTTGTCTGTCTATGTGTCAACCGGTTGCCGCAGCGTGGTGTCATAGCAGCATGAGCTCGTTGCCCGTCGTTGTGGACCTTGGTGTTTGTTTGACGTTCCTTCTTGTTGCATGACCATGCGGTTGCCTTGTTGTTTGCATGCAACTTTGTTCCGCTGTGCAGTGATGCCTTGATCTAATATTAATGTCGACATGCGGCGTTTCGGCGCTGTCTGCTGTAGATGGCATGTCGCTGTCCTTGCCGGGTTGTTTGCGTGCAGCTTAATGTCGTTGTTTTGCCTTGATCTCAAGTTAATTTCCACATGTGTCGTTTTGGCTCCGTCTACCGTAGATTCCTCCTCTCCCTTTCTACTTATCCATTTATCCTTTTGCCTATGTATCTATATGTCTGTGTGTCTGTCTTTCTATCTACCTATCTATCTGTCTGTCTGGCTGTCTATCTATCTGTTTGTCTATCTATCTGTCTGGCTGGCTGTCTGTGTCAACCGGTTGCCGCAGCGTGATGTCATAGCAGCATGATCTCGTTGCCCGTCGTTGTGGACCTTGGTGTTTGTTTGACGTTCCTTCTTGTTGCATGACCATGTGGTTGCCTTGTTGTTTGCATGCAACTTTGTTCCGCTGTGCAGTGATGCCTTGATCTAATATTAATGTCGACATGCGGCGTTTCGGCGCTGTCTGCTGTAGATGGCATGTCGCTGTCCTTGCCGTGTTGTCTGTGTGCAGCTTAATGTCGTTGTTTTGCCTTGATCTCAAGTTAATTTCCACATGTGTTGTTTTGGCTCCGTCTACCGTAGATTCCTCCTCTCCCTTTCTACTTATGGATTTATCCTTTTGCCTATCTATCTATCTATCTATCTACCTATCTATCTATTTATTACCTATCTATCTATTTATCTATCTATCTTTCTTTCTATCTTTCTATCTTTTCTATCTTATCTATCCAATCTATCTAATCTATCTAATCTATCTAATCTATCTAACCTATCTAATCTATCTAATCTATCTAATCTATCTAATCTATCTAATCTATCTAATCTATCTACTCTATCTAATCTATCTATCTATCTAATCTATCTAATCTATCTAATCTATCTAATCTATCTAATCTATCTAATCTATCTAATCTATCTAATCTATCTATCTATGCCCGGGTGCCCGGATGCCGGTCGATTGCCCGTGTGCCCGTGTGGCCGTGTGCCCTTGATTTGGCTGTGTGTCCGTGTGCCCGTGGATTGCTCGTGTGCCCGTGTGCCCGTGGATTCCTCGTGTGCCCGTGGATTCCTCGTGTGCCCATGTGCCCGTGGATCGGCCGCGTGCCCGTGTGCCCATGTGCCCGGAGGGCCGTGAGGAGACCTATCTCCCATGAAGGGTCTGTTGAGGGCAACGGCCGAACAGATTCTTTGGTCTTGGCTGTCCTGGAACTCCTGAGAAAAAATCATTTATTTCATGTTTTTTCCAAACAATAATGTCAAACGAAATTCTGTGGGCTTGAGAATGCATGCTTTGCCGGACGGCACATCATTGCCAGGACTGCGAGATTGACCCCCCAACTCTCGCATAATGAGCTTCAAGTCGGGCACGGTGAGTGGCTTGTCAGGAGCTGGACTGCTGTCAGTTGCTTTCTTCCTGAATCTTCCTGAACTCCTGTGGATCAACATAAATGATCATAAATGTACCTCATGCACTTGTTTCATATCGCTTCCCTCTTGCTGTTTTCCCTTTCAAAATGCATACAAGATTGTTGAATGTTGTCGGCACAGCCATGCAAGTATGGGCCCAGGCAGTCTTGGCAGTTGCACCAACAATGAATTGATAGTATGACTGGTGCACTGCGATTTTGCTGCCAGGAGATATGCGTTTCATTTGGCATCTTCAGCGACTTTCCAAGCGTCCATCATGCTGCTGATCCTGTTGAATTTGATCATGCTGGGGATCGAAGTTGATGTTTCCTCATCATTGAAGCCCGACGATTCTTACCTGCAGATACTGACATAGAGATTAAACATGAAACAAAATCATGAAGGTTTTTTCCATTCAATCTGTTACAGTACACTTTTTGTCACATAATATCATATCATAATATCATATGAATCTTAGGATGTTTGGGAGATGGACACCCTCTAGAAGTCCAGTCTTAAAACTCTCGGCTCAAAGCTCGTGACAACGAGTGTCATCATGCCACGCCACAGGAAGAGGATCCAGTGGTCTTCCAGGTGCTGAATATCGTCATTGTCATTGTTTTCATCTTTGACTCTCGGCACAGGAGACCCCGGAGACCCCATGGGCCGTGGACTCCTGTGATGTTAGCACAGGCTTCGGGCGTTCAACACAGGCTGACTTGTGACAGTGACAGGCTGCGCCAGGCTGATGAATTTGAATGGAGTGAGCGAATGCTTTGCTGTCGCAATCTGTCGCATCTTTTTTTCTTAGGAAAAAGTCGCAGTTTGCGCGATTCCCAAAAACTGTTTGCCGCCATTCGAGGAAATTGCGGTCAAGATGGCCGGATTCGGCTGCGCCCACTTTTTCTTTGGTCCTGAGAGGTGGTGGAATTCGACTTGTGGCCGGCTGGACTAAGGAACATTTTGACCGCATTGAGCAGATGTGTGCTCAAATTGTGGCTGAAGCCAAGCCCCAGAATTTTTTCTCTAACAGAATTGCGCCTGACAGCAAGCGTAAACTCAGTGAACGCATCAAAAAGAACAATGCGACTTGGCGCAAGGAAAATGGGCTCCCTGACGACTCTTCCGGCACGGGAGGTCTGTGTAATGGTAAGGTTGCACCTATGCGCCTTGCTAAGCGCACTGGGGTCAAACGCAGACGATACAAACAAGCCACTGAATGGCTCAGGGATTTAACCAAGGACGGAGACGTTGAGAGCAACCCGGGACCTACCCGCCGTCGGCGAGTGCAGACTTCTTTTCCTCATTTAAAAGTTTGGCAGTGCAATTTGAATGGGTTCGGCCCCCGCGGCTGGGAATTCGTTGCGCAAGCGGAAAAAGACCAAGTTGATATCCTTCTCATTCAGGAAATGCGGCTCAAGGAAGTCGACCTCAAAGGCATGACCCATTCGTTGACCGGCTGGTCGCTGTTTTATTGCACTGAGGCTCAGGAACGCACTGTCCCCCATGGCGGGGTGGCCGTGCTTACCAAGGTCACACTGCCCGCTGTGCGGGCTGCTGCTCACAGTGATGTGGCCGGCCAGTGGATCCGGGTCACTCTTCCTGGGCTTCAGATTTACAGTGTTTATCAGCGGCCGGGCACTAGTTCGGACGAAAGGGATTCTTTTCATCAAAGCATTTCTCAAGATTTCATGGGATTAGGCCCTTCTCCCTGTCTTGTGGCTGGCGATTGGAACCATGACCCTGTTACTTCTCCTCTTCGCCTCTTCCTTCACGATGCCTGTGTGTGTTTTCCCTCATTTGCTCCTGATCCTGAAGATCCTGACGCAGTCATGCCTGCGCCCACTCGGTGGGATGGTCAGGCTTGCATTGACTGGGGGATCTGCAGAAAGGTCACTTGCGATGTTGAAATGCTGCTGGATCGATGGGCCGACCATCGAGTTCTGGCCTGGACCCTTTATGATGTCGGAATCTCAGCTGTTAAGCAACTCAGGTTGACTCCTCGTCCGAACCTTTGCAAACCTGATGTCCTGTCTGAAGCAACGTGGCAAGCTCAGCTCACTGAAAGTTTCTTGGCTCGACAGTATCAACTTTCTGAAGCTCCGAGCTGGGAGCAGCTTTGCTGCTTCACTGAAACTGTGGTTCAAGAGGCGCTTCTCGCTCAAGGGGTTGCGCGACGTCAGCCTACAAACTCCCACAAAGGACACCCTGCCAAAACCGAGCAAGTTGTCAAACATCACAGAACCCTTACTACTGGTGAGAGCACCATCAAACTGACCAGACTCCGGCGGTTTTGGCGTCGGGCTCAAGCTTGGCACACCCAAGGTTTCCGTGACAATCGCCTTCGCGATGCCTTGCTTCGCGAAGCCGCCCATTTCCGTTGTCCATTTCATCCTCTTAGCATCGCTTGCTCTTCGGATTTTCTGCAATGGCTGGCTGATGAGATCGAAGCTGACACCCAGAACTGCGTGAAACAGCGCCTGCAAGCCTGGCGCCGTAAGATGCAGCAAGATGCGGCCCCTTGGAAATGGCTCTCGCGATACAAGATTTCCAACAAAGTGTCTTTCCTGGCCGACTCTGCTGGCTGTCCCCTTGCCGGACAAACCATGTTCGACGAAATCGAAAATACCTGGCGGCAATACTGGCCTCAAAACCCTAGGCAGGAGGAGCTGGACAACATGGCCCGGCTGCACGACACCGCACCTTGGCCTAACGGCCCTGCTGCTCCCGATTTGCCTCCCCTGCGAGGAATCCAATTCCGGGCCAAAGCTCGGGACGCCGTCAAAAAGGCTTCTGGCCCTGATGGATGGCGTGGCGATGAAATCATGCACCTCCCCGAGGGCCTCCTTCAGCTTTTCGCCAACTTCTTCAACCAACTTGAAAGCGGTTCCCAGTCTTGGCCTACGGCTTTACTGCAATGGCGGCAGGTTTGCATTCCAAAGCCTTCTGGTACCGGGTTGCGACCCCTGAGCATTGGTTCTGTGTGGTATCGTATGTGGAGCAGCATTCGTATCAAGCAGATGTCCCAGTGGATTGTCGATCGTGTTGGTCCTCATTTCCATGGTGGTGTCAAACAGCGCGGCACCGTCAGTGCCCTCCTCAAACCTCTTTGTCTCTTGCAGAAGACCCAGAATGATGATTCTCAGCCAGGCCGGCACCGCCGCCTTGCTGCCCGCCGGCGCCTGCTGCGATGGATTGGTGCTGCTGATTTGTCCAAGGCCTTTGACCGGCTTCATGGGGCTCTCGCTGGTCCTGCGCTGAAGCGCATGGGGCTCCCCGCTGCTTTGGTGGATGCTTGGACCGCTGCTTGGATTCATCAGATGCGATTCCTTCAATTCGGTTCCCAGACCAGCAAAGGTGCTGTCAGAAACATCAGCTGCCTCCCTCAAGGGGATCCTTGTTCCCCTCTTGCCCTCTTGGGGGTCCTGGCTGAAGCTCTGTGGCGGCTGCAGAAGAAGCATCCGGAGCGTACTCATGGGCCTACTGTGTGGCGCATCTACATTGATGACCGCTCTTGGTTTTGCGCTCGCATGAAAACCTGCCTTAGCATTGGCAAGGGTTGGATTGAGGAGATGAAGCTCCTCCACATGGATGAAAATGCCTCCAAGGCTGACTATGCTGTCGTGGGCCCTGCTGCCCTGGGCAAGAAGATGTGCGAAGAGCTGCGGCGGCAGGGCATGCCGGGCGAAGTTCGCACCCGTCCCAAACTGCTCGGCACCAGGATCGAAACCAAGAGAACTTTCTCCAAAGCTCAAGAAGAAGAAGTGGTGCGATTGCAGCGCGCGACCGCCATCGCCAACAACATTGCTTCCATTCCCGGCAGTGTTCACTTGAAGACTACCTGGCTGCAGGGTGCTGCTGTTTCTCTGGCTAGCGTGGCCGTGGTTTCTCGCCTCCCTGCTCTTCGAGACCTGACCTCTGCTCATCGGGCTATCTCTCGCGCTTTGGCTTCTTCTGGCCACAGCATGATGGGTCCTTTGTTCACCCTTTTCCATGGTCACAAAGTCAACTTGCGCTACCAAGTTGGCAACTACATGGCTGAGGTGGTCCTGAAGTCTCACACGGATCCTGATGTTCGCAAAGCCTGGAACGCTGCCCTTACTCGCAGCAACGGTCCTGTGCAACTCTTGCGCAGATGGATGAAACGTCAGAAATGGCATGAACTTGGCCCCTGGAAGTGGTGGCACCCTGAGGCTCAATGGGGGCTCTGCCGCCCTTCTGCTGCTCGCAGCTTCCCGGCCACTTGTGTTGGCCGCACGCTGCTCTTTGATGACAACCACGAGGAGCTTCGACATGTTCTCAGAGATGCTTGGCGTGCTACACTCTGGGAACGATGGAAGAAGTCTGCTCCCTACAAATCCAGATCTTATCACTCTATGCTTTGGCGTGATGTTGCCGATCGTTTCAATTTGGCGCGAACCATGCTTGCTCATTTGCCTGCTCATCTTCTTGCTCATGCTTGGGCGGTCGTCTGCGGACATGTGGTGAGTCAAGCTCAATACCACGGCGACCCCACTCGTGATCGATCTGACCGTGACCGTATTTGCTGGTTCTGTCAAAAAGAAACCATTCCGACATTTCTCCATGCCATGTGGGAGTGTGATGCACCGCAGTTTGCGGAAAGACCTGTGTTGCCGACTTGCAGTTTGCAACTCCACTTAGGTTGGCCTGATCCAACTAAGGACAATGCACATAACACTAAGGTGCTTGTGCATATGGCTGAGGTCCGCCGTGACCTCACTTCGATGCGCCGGCGCTGAGTTCTGCCCCGGCGAGCGATGCGCCGGCGCTGAGTTCTGCCCCGGCGAGCTGTGAGCACTATGACCTGCTGCAGCTCTTCAACGAGACAACAACAACAGAGGTGGTGGAATTGCTGCTATACACTCACCTCCGCGTGGTGGCAGCGGGCTGGCTCGTCGCTGCTTGCGACCGGCCGGTGCAAAGTTCAGTGTGAGAAATTAAAAGAAAGAGAAAAGAGGACAAAAGCCACTTTGGCACAAGAGCCCAACAAGAACGAGAAAGGGCCTGAATATAAAGGTTGGCGGCCCACCAAGGTTTTTAAGGTACCTAAGGCTCTGCTTTGCTGGCTGGTTGCGTGCTGCTGTTTGCTGTCCTGCTCTGCTGCCTCCAACCACCACGTCTCAATTCACGACTTCGAAGTCAACGTTTCTACCTGGCCCCCCAAGGGCCCCCTAATTCATGACACGTTCGGTTTGTCGCTGCAATGGTCTGATGGCGGCAATGCGAGCGCTCTTGCAGTGCGCGCTGGTGCATCTGTGACTCGGGAACTTGGTTTGTTTAAATGTGGCACTCTCTTTCCACCATTTCTGCTTACTGATTCTCGGGCCCCCCTAATTAATGATGGTTTCAATGATTTCACCCCCATTTTGGGTCAAACTTGGGTTTTGGGATTGAGTTTTATCGTTGCCTGGGTTGGGGTTGTCTCTTCCCTTTTTACGGTTTTCATTCTCCCTGTTAAAACCCCTCAAAGAAAGGGCCGAAAAGCCCCAAAACATGGCTCAAAGCTGCAGCGGCAGCAGAAGTGGTCGCGGAAATCTTTTTTCAAAGCTTTTGTGGCCAGACGATGCAGCACGCATCGCATGTCAAGAGCGCGGCTCAAACACCGCCGCATTGCACTGAGACTCAGGAGCCGTTGGTTCAGAGTGCATCGGCGTCGTGATCCAAAAAAGCCTGCTGAGCAGGGTGTGCTACCAGGTTTTCCTTTCAATTTTGACTGGTCGCCCGAACATGACAATTTTTGTGATTATTCACCAGTTCAACCCACTCATGAGGCTGGCCAATGGCTGGGTTCAGAATGCCTTCGGGGAGGGTCGGGGTATCGTAGGAAACGCAAACGAAACCCTAAACGAGGCCCACAGGTTTCGCAGGTTTTAGTCAAGACGCTGATCCAAGGACTCAAAACTTGTTTGAATCAGGGTTCTTTTCCTACTGATCTTTCCCCCCTTTTTGATCTTTTGGGATCCACTCAGTTTGCTGATTCCAGTGCTGTTGCTCCGGCCAAAAAACGTGTCAGGAAACGGAAAACGCAGCAGCAGAGTGCTTCTGTGGCTCAAACCAAACCAAAGACCTCCACCACTCAGAAAGAGTTGTGGACTTTCAGAGATGGAACTACCAGGCCATATTGTCGAAACACTGAGACAGGTTGGTGGTGGTGGGACGACAGTGACAACCCGCCATTTTCTTCCAACCGTGAAGTTAGAGTTTCCCCCCCACCCGCTGTGACTCCCCCTAAAGTGGCTCAAACCCCCATGCCCAAGGTGAGATCGGTGTACCCAGCGGAATGGAACCAACCTGTTTCGCTTGTTTCATGTCAAACTGTTCTTACTGCTATCAAGCAAAAGCAGCCTTGGAAAGGCAACCTGGCTTGTACCAGCACTCCGTGGGAAGTCCAGGAACTCATTGACCTCTACAAAAGCTTGGGACTGTCTCAAGGCTTAACTCTTGTGCTCACTGGACCCACGTGCAGCTGGGTCGGTTCCACTCTTAGTAGAGCCAGGCTCCAAAGGCAGGGTCAGCAGGCCAAAGTTGAAGATGTCCACTTGCTTTCCTTAGGCACGTCGGCGCCTTGGAAGTCACATGCGATCAAAATTGAAACTGACAAAGTCAAAACTGTCGAGCGTACTCAGGTTCGAGTTGTGGTGCCCGAGCAGTATCGCTCTCTTTTCATTTCTGACCCCAAAACTGAAAAGATTACGGTTATTTTGGGAGAACTTGCCCAGTGGGGCGTGCGAGCTCACACCCTCACGGGTGGGCGCTGGCAAAGGGAACAGTGGGGACGCAGTAGTGCCCTCATCGGATGGCTCAGGCTGACCAAAGCTGATTGCCAGGTCCTCGTTGGGAAAAGTGGCACCAGAGGCATCTTTGTCAATCAGCACCTTGACCCTGCTGCCGACAGACCGTCCTTTTTTTGGATTTCCAAACAAGCCAGTGAGTCTTCTGAAGAATATTTCCAAAGATGTACCAAGGAAGCTAAGGCACGTGGTCAGCCAATTTTTTTGCGAAAAGGCCTGGGCAGTGACTTAGGTTTCAGCAGGAAACCTGAGGACCCCGAGGATCGGCGGCCGAAAGCCGTCGAAGTATCAGGGGTGCCAGCCCAGTGGCACTCCGACGAATTGCAGGAATTCCTGACAGGTCAAGACTGGCGTGAGGTCAGCATCCTGAATCGCCACCGACGCAACCGGAAAATCATTTGGCTCATCAGAGCCGTTCCTCCTGTTGCCTTCCCTTATAACCAAGGTGTTTGGACCTACGAAGACGGGTCCGATTTGCGCATCATTATTAACGATGCTGTGCACCGGCCTTATATCCCCCAAAAGGTCACAAATTTGAAGGGGCCACGCAGACAATGGGCCCCGGGCTCACAAGAGTTTGATAACCAGGAAACCTCCAGGCGGGGCAGAAGCCCTACCAAAAGGCCTCCCAGAGGCTCCGCAAACAGAGAAAGATCACGGTCTGCTAAGGCCTCTGATGACACCAAAGATTCAAATGCTCCTGGCGATGCTTCAGGAGTCACAAGAGCAGACAAGCCTGTTGTGCAGGCTCAGATGGAAGTTGATTCTTCTACCAAGGATTCTACTCAGGCACCAACCAGTTCAAAGCTCGGCATTGGCGATTTGCAGGACGCTCTCTGCAATCATCAATGGTCACTTGTGGATCAAGGTGGCGTTGGCGATTGCGGGTGGAGAGCTTTGTGTGACAGTTATTTTTTCTTTACGCAAGGGAAACAGCTGTCCAATGAAGAATGCATCCATGAGGCCAGTCTTTTGAGGGTCAAAACTGTTCAGCATGTTCGCAAGTTCCATGACAGATACGAATCTTTTGTTAAGGGGGGAAAAGCGGCCTTCCCTGATTTTTGTGAAAAAGCACTGGACAAGCATACGTGGATTTGCGGCCTACTTCTGCAGGCTGCGGCTGAAGTTTACGGCTGCTGTATTGTTGTCTGGGATCAAACGGATGAATCTCTGCGCAGATTTACTTTTGCCCCTGAATGGAGCAGGACCGGAATGCCCCGGGTGGTTGTTGACAGCCCAACTCTCGTTGTGCAACGAAAGGGGAAACACTACTGTTCCGTGCGTCCCCCTGACACTGGTGACAGCAGTGACAAACGAACTAAGGTGCCCAGTCACTGGATGCGGGAGACCGCGCGACCTGAACCTGACGGGTTGGGAGGGGCTGCTCCCCCGGGTGTCTTCAACCCCACTCCCCTCTCTCCTTCTTCTCGGTCCCTGCGCACTGCTGCCGGCTCCTCCTGCGGGTCCTCCTCGCGATCCACCGTTGCCGCGTGCCCTGTTGGTCCTGCGTCCTCTCGCGTCGCTGCTCGCAGTGCTCCCCGGACCCCTGCCGCGGTCTCTCGCCGTCTGTCCCCCAGCGTGCGATCCGACCCTGCGTCTCTGCACACGTTGCTTTCCCTGCGCACTGCCTCCGCGTCGTCCTGCTCTGGCGTCTCCCCGGCTCCCTCCCTCCACACTCGTGTTGGGTCCGTGTGCTCTGGTGTGCCCTCCAGCCGTGCCGCGCCTTCTTTGCCCGCCCCCTCGCTCCACACTGCGGTCGGGTCTGTTCTCAGTCCCCCTGCTGCTGCGAGTCTTGGCGTCTCTGCTGCGGTCGTCTCCGGGTCTAGTGCTGCTCAGGCCGTTGCCCCTAGACCTGAAACTGGCCCCCGAAAGCGTCTTTGGGGAAAACAGAAGGTTCACTGGTTTGATGATGAACAAGATCTCAGTGGTGTTTCGATTCATGACCCTGCTGATGTCACTTATGAGGATCCCACTGATTTCAGGCCCACCAAAAAAGATTCGAGACCGTCCCGCCAGCAACGCTGGTCGACGATCCAGTGGGTTTGTCCTATTTGCAAACAAGAAATGGAACTGTCAGGTCATGACAAAGCTTACAAGAAAAGGGCTTTGCATCTCCGAAACGCTCATAACACCAAACTTTCGATGGTTGGTCCCTCCATCAGCGAAAAAATTTCCCTGGGCCACAAAACTGGGGGAAAACATGCCGCAGCCAAAAATGGTGCCATGGCTTCTCAACGAGCCTTTGTTCGGGCCAAAGCTTTGGCCCAAGACCATGACCATGACATGCGTCACTGCACCTCGCATGGTTTGTTTGATGCTTTCAAGAAAACTTGGTTTTGCACCAAATGCCTTAACCACCAGACTAGTCGACTCATGGCCTCCATTCCTTGCAGTCCTGCCACTACTTGGACTGCCAGGAAAGCCCGGTGGTGGCAGGCTCTGCCCGACGGCACCAGGAACAGAATTCGACTTGTGGCCGGCTGGACTAAGGAACATTTTGACCGCATTGAGCAGATGTGTGCTCAAATTGTGGCTGAAGCCAAGCCCCAGAATTTTTTCTCTAACAGAATTGCGCCTGACAGCAAGCGTAAACTCAGTGAACGCATCAAAAAGAACAATGCGACTTGGCGCAAGGAAAATGGGCTCCCTGACGACTCTTCCGGCACGGGAGGTCTGTGTAATGGTAAGGTTGCACCTATGCGCCTTGCTAAGCGCACTGGGGTCAAACGCAGACGATACAAACAAGCCACTGAATGGCTCAGGGATTTAACCAAGGACGGAGACGTTGAGAGCAACCCGGGACCTACCCGCCGTCGGCGAGTGCAGACTTCTTTTCCTCATTTAAAAGTTTGGCCGTGCAATTTGAATGGGTTCGGCCCCCGCGGCTGGGAATTCGTTGCGCAAGCGGAAAAAGACCAAGTTGATATCCTTCTCATTCAGGAAATGCGGCTCAAGGAAGTCGACCTCAAAGGCATGACCCATTCGTTGACCGGCTGGTCGCTGTTTTATTGCACTGAGGCTCAGGAACGCACTGTCCCCCATGGCGGGGTGGCCGTGCTTACCAAGGTCACACTGCCCGCTGTGCGGGCTGCTGCTCACAGTGATGTGGCCGGCCAGTGGATCCGGGTCACTCTTCCTGGGCTTCAGATTTACAGTGTTTATCAGCGGCCGGGCATTAGTTCGGACGAAAGGGATTCTTTTCATCAAAGCATTTCTCAAGATTTCATGGGATTAGGCCCTTCTCCCTGTCTTGTGGCTGGCGATTGGAACCATGACCCTGTTACTTCTCCTCTTCGCCTCTTCCTTCACGATGCCTGTGTGTGTTTTCCCTCATTTGCTCCTGATCCTGAAGATCCTGACGCAGTCATGCCTGCGCCCACTCGGTGGGATGGTCAGGCTTGCATTGACTGGGGGATCTGCAGAAAGGTCACTTGCGATGTTGAAATGTTGCTGGATCGATGGGCCGACCATCGAGTTCTGGCCTGGACCCTTTATGATGTCGGAATCTCAGCTGTTAAGCAACTCAGGTTGACTCCTCGTCCGAACCTTTGCAAACCTGATGTCCTGTCTGAAGCAACGTGGCAAGCTCAGCTCACTGAAAGTTTCTTGGCTCGACAGTATCAACTTTCTGAAGCTCCGAGCTGGGAGCAGCTTTGCTGCTTCACTGAAACTGTGGTTCAAGAGGCGCTTCTCGCTCAAGGGGTTGCGCGACGTCAGCCTACAAACTCCCACAAAGGACACCCTGCCAAAACCGAGCAAGTTGTCAAACATCACAGAACCCTTACTACTGGTGAGAGCACCATCAAACTGACCAGACTCCGGCGGTTTTGGCGTCGGGCTCAAGCTTGGCACACCCAAGGTTTCCGTGACAATCGCCTTCGCGATGCCTTGCTTCGCGAAGCCGCCCATTTTCGTTGTCCATTTCATCCTCTTAGCATCGCTTGCTCTTCGGATTTTCTGCAATGGCTGGCTGATGAGATCGAAGCTGACACCCAGAACTGCGTGAAACAGCGCCTGCAAGCCTGGCGCCGTAAGATGCAGCAAGATGCGGCCCCTTGGAAATGGCTCTCGCGATACAAGATTTCCAACAAAGTGTCTTTCCTGGCCGACTCTGCTGGCTGTCCCCTTGCCGGACAAACCATGTTCGACGAAATCGAAAATACCTGGCGGCAATACTGGCCTCAAAACCCTAGGCAGGAGGAGCTGGACAACATGGCCCGGCTGCACGACACCGCACCTTGGCCTAACGGCCCTGCTGCTCCCGATTTGCCTCCCCTGCGAGGAATCCAATTCCGGGCCAAAGCTCGGGACGCCGTCAAAAAGGCTTCTGGCCCTGATGGATGGCGTGGCGATGAAATCATGCACCTCCCCGAGGGCCTCCTTCAGCTTTTCGCCAACTTCTTCAACCAACTTGAAAGCGGTTCCCAGTCTTGGCCTACGGCTTTACTGCAATGGCGGCAGGTTTGCATTCCAAAGCCTTCTGGTACCGGGTTGCGACCCCTGAGCATTGGTTCTGTGTGGTATCGTATGTGGAGCAGCATTCGTATCAAGCAGATGTCCCAGTGGATTGTCGATCGTGTTGGTCCTCATTTCCATGGTGGTGTCAAACAGCGCGGCACCGTCAGTGCCCTCCTCAAACCTCTTTGTCTCTTGCAGAAGACCCAGAATGATGATTCTCAGCCAGGCCGGCACCGCCGCCTTGCTGCCCGCCGGCGCCTGCTGCGATGGATTGGTGCTGCTGATTTGTCCAAGGCCTTTGACCGGCTTCATGTGGCTCTCGCTGGTCCTGCGCTGAAGCGCATGGGGCTCCCCGCTGCTTTGGTGGATGCTTGGACCGCTGCTTGGATTCATCAGATGCGATTCCTTCAATTCGGTTCCCAGACCAGCAAAGGTGCTGTCAGAAACATCAGCTGCCTCCCTCAAGGGGATCCTTGTTCCCCTCTTGCCCTCTTGGGGGTCCTGGCTGAAGCTCTGTGGCGGCTGCAGAAGAAGCATCCGGAGCGTACTCATGGGCCTACTGTGTGGCGCATCTACATTGATGACCGCTCTTGGTTTTGCGCTCGCATGAAAACCTGCCTTAGCATTGGCAAGGGTTGGATTGAGGAGATGAAGCTCCTCCACATGGATGAAAATGCCTCCAAGGCTGACTATGCTGTCGTGGGCCCTGCTGCCCTGGGCAAGAAGATGTGCGAAGAGCTGCGGCGGCAGGGCATGCCGGGCGAAGTTCGCACCCGTCCCAAACTGCTCGGCACCAGGATCGAAACCAAGAGAACTTTCTCCAAAGCTCAAGAAGAAGAAGTGGTGCGATTGCAGCGCGCGACCGCCATCGCCAACAACATTGCTTCCATTCCCGGCAGTGTTCACTTGAAGACTACCTGGCTGCAGGGTGCTGCTGTTTCTCTGGCTAGCGTGGCCGTGGTTTCTCGCCTCCCTGCTCTTCGAGACCTGACCTCTGCTCATCGGGCTATCTCTCGCGCTTTGGCTTCTTCTGGCCACAGCATGATGGGTCCTTTGTTCACCCTTTTCCATGGTCACAAAGTCAACTTGCGCTACCAAGTTGGCAACTACATGGCTGAGGTGGTCCTGAAGTCTCACACGGATCCTGATGTTCGCAAAGCCTGGAACGCTGCCCTTACTCGCAGCAACGGTCCTGTGCAACTCTTGCGCAGATGGATGAAACGTCAGAAATGGCATGAACTTGGCCCCTGGAAGTGGTGGCACCCTGAGGCTCAATGGGGGCTCTGCCGCCCTTCTGCTGCTCGCAGCTTCCCGGCCACTTGTGTTGGCCGCACGCTGCTCTTTGATGACAACCACGAGGAGCTTCGACATGTTCTCAGAGATGCTTGGCGTGCTACACTCTGGGAACGATGGAAGAAGTCTGCTCCCTACAAATCCAGATCTTATCACTCTATGCTTTGGCGTGATGTTGCCGATCGTTTCAATTTGGCGCGAACCATGCTTGCTCATTTGCCTGCTCATCTTCTTGCTCATGCTTGGGCGGTCGTCTGCGGACATGTGGTGAGTCAAGCTCAATACCACGGCGACCCCACTCGTGATCGATCTGACCGTGACCGTATTTGCTGGTTCTGTCAAAAAGAAACCATTCCGACATTTCTCCATGCCATGTGGGAGTGTGATGCACCGCAGTTTGCGGAAAGACCTGTGTTGCCGACTTGCAGTTTGCAACTCCACTTAGGTTGGCCTGATCCAACTAAGGACAATGCACATAACACTAAGGTGCTTGTGCATATGGCTGAGGTCCGCCGTGACCTCACTTCGATGCGCCGGCGCTGAGTTCTGCCCCGGCGAGCTGTGAGCACTATGACCTGCTGCAGCTCTTCAACGAGACAACAACAAGAGGTGGTGGAATTGCTTTGATCTGATTATCATCATCACCTCCGTCTTCGAGACCTTTCTGGACCGCCGCTAAGTGCACCTGCAATGCTTCTGGTAATTGTTCCAGACACAGTTGAGCACCGACCCTCTTATGTTTTCTCATCTCCTGTGGTGTGTGTGAAGACACGTGGGTTTGTTTGATAATGGAGCGCCTCCACTTCCAAGAGATCATCATTCTTCCCATTGACGTTGCAAGGCGCCATATACCAAATTTATCCAAATTTCCCATTTCGTTGCCAGGATATCTTGACCAAGACGATCGAGGCGAGCACCGTGGACTCCAGCCACCTTCGCATCATGCGATTCATGCGTTTGGCTCGTGCTTTGCGTGGCGTTCGTGTCATGAGACTCGTGCGCTTTATCGGCGCCCTGCGATCAATTGTTTTTGCTATCCTCAGTCTCTTGGTCCACAATTAGGTTTGCTTGAAATCTTGTGGGAAAACATCAAAATCCGGTTGACTATCATAGTTTTTCAATGTTTTACATCTTAAAATGAAAATGCTGGGGTATACCCAATGTTGAGACGCGTCCAAGCCACTGCTATGCTGTGTGTGTTTGTTTGTTTGTTACTTATGTTCACATCCAGATTGGGTCAGATGGTCTTTTTTCCAAGACATTGTTGGTCCCTGAGCCACCAATGCACGTCATGATCCCCGAGACTGGGCGTTGAATCAGGTACGCTTTGGTCATTAGTTTGGACTCTTGTGCCTTCGGCTCCAAGTCGCGCAAGTCATGAAAGCGTCACCTGCTTCTATATCTTCTATGGTTTCCCTTGTTTTCCCAACATGTTCAAAAAACTAACGTCTTGGACGTTGTGTTTCTTTAGAATCCAACCTAGCCTCCCGCTGAAGATTGTGTTGAAACGGGCCTAGGCAACATATTATACGAACACAACAAGGGATTTCAATCCTTGCAAAGTGTAAGAAAGTGTTGGTGCATACAATACGCTGTGCCCCCAATGAAGTCCCACCGACCACACAGCACTGAATGCACTGAGAATTTTGTTCCACAGACAAGGTGGCGCAACAAATTGGAATCGATCCAGTAAAGAGAGAATGCTTGCTGGCCCTCGACCCCCAGACACATACTCGTAGCACACACACACACATACACACACACACACACTTGGAAACACCCACCGAAGCATGTTAGACCACGATTTTCATTTTTTATGTTTTGCAAAACGGCGACCAGGAGATGATCATCATAAATATCAACGGATTTCATTGCATATCCAGAGATTGGTCACAGCCTCGTAGGGCTGCTTTGATCTGATGGCTTGGTATGCCGCGTGCTAGGTGCTTTTGGTGCTGCTGTTCTACTGCTTTGCCGTAATTCTGGCTCAATTAGCCACTTGCTTGAGCTCAGGTACCCGGCGGTGACAAAGACTGGATTTGAACCATTGAAAGCTCGGGTATTAACCATTCAACAGTGGGAGTTTAAAGATTACACTTGGAATCGCCTGTCATCAAAGAAGAGCTATTTTTTTTAGTGTGGCCCGAGGTATCAGACCACTGTCGCTTCAGCGTGGCGCCTTGTGATCTCATTCTAAAACGACATTGGGCCAGCGTGCCAGCGCCTCTGCGTGAGCCTGGCGTTTGGGGTTGGACTCCTTGGGAGAATTTTCTGGCAATTTGCAAGGGCACTTGAATGAAACAGATTTGGGGCTAGCCCAATCTTCAGACAAACCCATATTGTTGATGGAAGGAAATGATACCCTCTGATGAAATCATCTGTATAATCTGGTTTGAAGATCTACACTGAATCTACACGATGACTTTCCCAAGCAAATCCAGGTCAGGAATTTCCTAGTGCTGTGTTTCTGGAAGTTGGCTTGGTGGTGATGAATCGAGGGGTTTACCTCCACAACGTTTCTTTTTCCCGAGAGCGTCTGAGCGCAGGGTTCTTCCAATAGTGGGGGTCTGTAAAACATCTTCTCCTCTTCGCAATCATCTTCTCATCCTCACATCTTCCCATCTTCACATCCTCACATCTTCTCATCTTCACATCTTCACATCTTCGCATTCTCTCATCTTCACATCCTCTCATCTTCACATCCTCACATCTTCACAGCTGCTCATCTTCACATCTTCACATCCTCTCACACATCTTCTCATCCTCACATCTTCTCCTCTTCGCATCTTCACATCTTCACATCTTCTCGTGCTCAGATCTTCTCATCTGCTCATCTTCACATCTTCTCATCTTCACATCTTCTCATCTTCTCATCTTCTCATCTTCACATCTTCTCATCTTCACATCTTCTCATCCTCACATCTTCTCCTCTTACCCTCTTGCCCTCTTGCCCTTTTGCCCTTTTGCCCTCTTGCCCTCTTGCCCTCTTGCCCTCTCCTTCTTTTCTATTTCTCTCTTGAAGGCGCGGGGCGGTGCCAACGAAACGGCACGAAACGCAACCCTTTCGCACGAAATGAGGTTCGATCGCCAAAAACCGAGGTAAAATTGCGATTTCAAGTCGTCCCGCGCAACCCTTTCGGATGAAATGAGGTTCGATCGCCCAAAACTGAGGTAAAATTGCGATTTCAAGTTGTCCCGCGCAACCCTTTTGCACGAAATGAGGTTCGATCGCCCAAAACGGAGGTAAAATTGCGATTCCTCTTGTCCAAGCGCAACCCTTTCGCACGAAATGAGGTTCGATCGCCAAAAACTGAGGTAAAGTAAAATTGCGATTTCCAAGTTGTCCGGCGCAGTGTGTAAAAGCTTCTGTGTGTAAAAGCTTCTTTGTGTAAAAGCGTCTGTGCGTAAAAGTGTTTGTGTGTAAAAGCGTTTGTGTGTAAAACCGTCTGTGTGTAAAAGCGTCTGTGTGTAAAAGCTTCTGTGTGTAAAAGCGTCTGCGTGTAAAACCGTCTGTGTAAAAGCTCCTGTGTGTAAAAGCTTCTGTGTGTAAAAGCGTCTGCGTGTAAAAGCTTCTGTGTGTAAAAGTCTCTGTGTGTAAAAGCTTCTGCGTGTAAAAGCGTCTGTATGTAAAAGTGTTTGCGTGTAAAAGTGTCTACGTGTAAAGCGTCTGCGTGTAAAGCGTCTGTGTGTAAAGGAGCCTGTGTGTAAAAGCTCCTGTGTGTAAAAGGGTCTGCGTGTAAAAGTCTCTGTGTGTAAAAGCTTCTGTGTGTAAAAGCGTCTGTGTGTAAAAGCGTCTGTGTGTAAAAGCGTTTGTGTGTAAAACCGTCTGTGTGTAAAAGCGTCTGTGTGTAAAAGCTTCTGTGTGTAAAAGCGTCTGCGTGTAAAACCGTCTGTGTAAAAGCTCCTGTGTGTAAAAGCTTCTGTGTGTAAAAGCGTCTGCGTGTAAAAGCTTCTGTGTGTAACTGTAAAAGTCTCTGTGTGTAAAAGCTTCTGTGTGTAAAAGCGTCTGTATGTAAAAGTGTTTGCGTGTAAAAGTGTCTGCGTGTAAAGCGTCTGCGTGTAAAGCGTCTGTGTGTAAAGGAGTCTGTGTGTAAAAGCTCCTGTGTGTAAAAGGGTCTGCGTGTAAAAGTCTCTGTGTGTAAAAGCTTCTGTGTGTAAAAGCGTCTGTGTGTAAAAGCGTCTGTGTGTAAAAGGGTGTGTGTGTGTGTGTAAAAGCTTCTGTGTGTAAAAGCGTCTGAGTGTAAAAGCTTCCATGTGTAAAAATGTCTGTGCGCAAAAGCTTCCGTATGTAAAAGTGTCTGTGTCTAAAAGCATCTGTGTGATCTGTGTGTAAAAGCGTCTCCCTGTAAAAGTTCTGTGTGTGAAAAGCTATTTGAAAGATACGATGCAAACTATTGTCTTGTACTTGTGCTATATTGTCTTGATACTCCTCTTCTCGTCTGCCTATAACACATCTTTAATAAAAATACATTGTTTTGTAACATGGTGTCTCCATACTAACAAGAGAAGACCCTGTTCCTCTACGCTCTCGGGCCATCCGTCGTCTAGTTACATTCAGCGAGCCAAGCAGATGACGAAAGCAACCGTCGAGGTCTTTGGGTTGTGAATGATCAAATTGCATGAGAGATTTTACGCAGCTTGCGAATCCACAAAGATAATTTTTCATGATTTTCTTCCAAAAGCATTGCCATGGCAATAATTACAGTATATAAGTAGTTTGTAAAGCGTGATACATCTCAAGCTGACTCAAGAGTCCGTGAGCGTGAAGGTGCAATTCGTGAAAGGGTCGGGAGAGTGCCGCTAAACCTCCGCGAATGGCTACGCAAACAAGACTCGACGCGAAATTTTCGGGAAACGTTGCGCACGTGACACAGAAACCTAAAAGCGGGCAAAAGAGTTGGACCAGGAATTCTGGAGCCAACGCGAAATTCAACAAGGCTCCTGAAACTGCTCAACAAGAGGTATTGTGATAATATGTTGAATCTACTTTCCTTGGAGATGGGCCAAGGAAAGTATGCTGACTCTGTTCCTGTCCATTTCTGGCGGTCTCAGCTGGACTGAAGCTTTGGAGCCCTTGCGTGCCTGAGCTGATTGCCCAAGCGGCGGCTGCGGGGCAACGGGATGCGACCCAAGTTGATCTCACCCAAAATCTCATTTCATACCTCCGGCATACATTGCTACACTTACCATCCAGCCATGTGTTGGTGCTCTCACATCTGGGTGCAACTCTCCTTGAGGCTGGCCGCATGAAGAACTAAGGTACAGTCTCCAGCGTGGCATTTTCTTGCTTTATCATTTATATATTTATCACGATCTTCGCTATTCTGAACGTGGTGACGGGGGTGACACTCGGTCTTCAGAGCATATCTTTGAGTTTGTGTACTTAATGTTCCCCGAAGTTTTTTTTCAATGGTTGCTCTTGATTTTGCTTTTGTGGGAGAAGCGAATGGCCAAAGATCAAAGCAGGTTTTGTAACAACGCAATCGAAAGTTCCAAGGCTGACAAGGACCGTTTACGCTGTGTAAGGGGGGCCCCCGGCATGCAGCAGAAAGTGTGACAGGCAATCGCGGCGACATTCATATAGCGCGGTTGCTTCTTCTGGTTTGTTTGCAAAGTGGAAGGTAGAGTTTCGCCAAAGCGTCCATGACCCCAGTCGCTTTGAAATGTTTTCTTCTGTCCTTGTAAGCCTTTGCTTTGACTTTGTGCTATAGAGGCCAGGGGCTACTGATATTTGATGATGTTTGCGTTTTGCCTGGGTCACTGCAAATCGTGTGGCATTGTGTGCTGGTGTTGAATCTATGGGTCACAAGATCCAGTCCAGTGTCTTTTGTGATGTCTGTCAGCCACAATGTTGTCATGCGCTGCGTGTTCATTCCACCAACTCGTTGTTCCAAATTGCAATGCTGCAAACTTTGGCGAAGGACATTGCCATCATGAAGCAAATAGAATGGCACAAGGGACAACTGCGTGCTCTCAAAGGTGTTTTCAACGAAATCGTTGCTTGGCAAGCATTCCTATCCACAGTTATAGAAGACGTGTTGAACAATCTATACGCTAAACAAAGGTTTTTCGTGCAAGCAGTACCGATGCAGCGTTTGACTGAGGACAATGATCAGTCCAACAAGGTCAGCATCAGTGAACTGGAGGTCGGACAGCCCACCACAAGCATCCACTCAAACCGGGCAATCAGACATAGCGCGGCCAAGTTTGTCATTCATTTAACACGACTATCAGGTAGTTGTTGATTTCAACTGGGCCTTTTTCATTTGTTTGCATTACGCTGGTAACGAAGTAACCATGTTTGATACAGCGAAAGAGCATTTCTTCGGCCTGCATGGGCAAAGAAGTTTTGGGCAGGCAGCCGACAACAGACAACAACCAACAGCCAAGAACCAACAACCAACAACCAACAAAAGCCGCAACAGCAACAACAACAACAACAGCAGCAGCAGCAACAACAACAACAACAGCAGCATCAGCATCAGCATCAGCACCAGCACCAGCACCACCGCCGTCGCCGCCACCGCCACCGCCCTGGCCACCGCCACCAGTGCCAGCACCAGGGCCATCACCAGTGCCATCACCAGTGCCATCACCACCAACACTGCCACCAACACTGCCACCACCACCGCCACCGCCACCACCACCACCCTACTAAGAACAAAAACAAGACAAACCACCAGAACAAACCACGACGACAACAATGACAACAACGACAGCAAAATGACAGCAACAATTATCCCAAACAAGAAGAACACAAGAAACAACAACAAGAAACAAGAGACAAGTGATAAGGAACAAATAAAACAAGAAACAAAAACAAGGAACGACAACAACGACGACTGCAACGACTGCAACGACTGCAACGACTGCAACGACTGCAACGACTACAACGACTACGACGACAACAGCCAACAACCAACAACCACAACAACAGCAACAGCAACAGCAACAGCAACAACACCAACACCAACACCAACACCAACAACAACAACAACAACAACAACAACAACAACAACAACAACAACAACAACAACAACAACAACAACAACAGCACCAACAGCACCAACAGCACCAACAGCACCAACAGCACCAACAGCACCAACAGCACCAACAGGACCAACAGCACCAACAGCACCAACAGCACCAACAGCACCAACAGCAACAACCTCACCAACAACAACAACAACAACAACAACAACAACAACAACAACAACAGCAGCAACGACGACAACGACAACAACAACAACAACAACAACAACAACACCAACACTAAGACCAACACTAACAACAACACTAACAACAACACTAACAACAACACTAACAACAACACTAACAACAACACTAACAACAACAACAACAACAACAACAACAACAACAACAACAACAACAACAACAACAACAACAACAACAACAACAACAACAACAGCAACAGCAACAGCAACAGCAACAGCAACAGCAACAGCCACAGCCACAGCCACAACCACAACCACAACCACAACAACAACAACAACAATCACAACAACCACCACAACCACCACAACCACCACAACCACCACAACCACAACAACCACAACAACCACAACAACCACAACAAGCACAACAAGCACAAGAACCACAAGAACCACAAGAACCACAAGAACCACAAGAACCACAAGAACCACAAGAACCACAAGAACCACAAGAACCACAACAACCACCAACGCCAACGCCAACGCCAACGCCAACGCCAACACCACCACCAACAACAACAACAGCAACAGCAACTGCAACTGCAACTGCAACAGCAACAGCAACAGCAACAGCAACAACAGCAGCAACAACAGCAACAACAACAGCAACAACGCCGCCAACAACGACGCCAACACGGCAACACGACAACAATGACATCAACGACAACAACGACAACAACGATAAAAAGGACAAGGAAAACTGTTACTGTACAACCACAGCTGCGACTACATCTGCAACAAGAACAAGAAGAGCAGCAAACCCAAGCAAAAAAGCGAAACAGCTACGACATGCTACGACCGCAGCCAGCAAGAAGGACAAACACAAGAACGAAACTGTTTGTGCGATTCAGGCGCTGCCGAGAAAAACCAAATTAGATGCAAATGACCGGGTCAACAAGTTAAGGTTTCACAGTGCTTCAGAGACAGGCTCAGGGTGGCAACTTGTGCCGCGGTTGTTTTCTTCACACGCAGAACGCCTGATCTTCTAGAGGTCAAATTGTTGGTTTGCCATGTGGTTCACAACGCTGCCGGTCAAGTTTAAGACAGACAAAACCGATACGAAACGTTGCACGGAGTTCCATGAAAACAATATGCAGACACATGGATAGGTGTCGGTGTGCTGTGTTTTTTTGGATATGGCATATGATATGGCAGTAATTTAAAAACAACAATTGTGGATTAAGCTGTGTGCCGTGCGATGGGGTAAGACGATAGGCCGTGGAGTAAATTATCACCCACACTCGTATCACCCAGTACCACCCAAAAATTGGAAGCAAACGCTTCACAATGTCCCGAAGATCATGCAAAGTCTGAAGTCTCACAATGTTACATGTACCGTGCAAAATGAAATTCGAAGGCGCCCAATACTGCATATACCATGCAAAAACGGAAGGCTCAAGGTCCAAGATGTGCGCGCGCCATGCGAAATAAAGGTTGAAGGTCCAAAACTATCATGTCCAAAACCCGGCAAATACCATGCGAAGTGAAAGGTTCCATCCGAAACTTGCAAGGGCCATGCAGACTGAGAGGTTCCATCGCCCCAGTGAAAGTTGAAAATTGCAAATACCATGGAATTTGAGCAGCTGTAGCTCCAAAAATCTTCAAGCACCATGTAGAACAACAGTTTTTCCAGCACAAGGCTACAAGACATAGATCCCCACAAGGACTGAGAATTCACAATTCCGTTTCAAAAATCGAACTCAATGCTATGGAGCTAGCCAAGACCTGTTTGCGCGAGCAAACGCAAAGTATCCATGTGACTCGCTACTGCATTGAACATTTGCATGGAATAATATGGAGTAGTTTCAAGGGCCGGGAAGGGAAATGCATAAGTTTAAATTTTGACGCGTGAAAGATCGAGAAATCGAGGTGGCACTATCGCAAGAAAAGCTTTCCAGCTTCATGGAGTCCATGGCTATCTCAACGCAAGATATCTGGACCCTCTTCCTGCTATCTGGCTGCATCTTGTGGGAACCATGAGGGGAAGCTTCGTGCAGGTAGACCATTGAACCCAAGAAATACCTCTTGTGATTTGGTTACTCTCTGGTTGAATGGGATGATGCTAAGATAGGAGCATTGCCTAACCAGCTAGTAAAATGGGCTGGGATGGTGGTATTTGCCATAGCTGCATTGATGCTGTGTGTGTGTGTGTGTGTGCCAACTTCGTTGAAGTGAAGAATGCAACATCTCTTGTCTCAGGCAGCATGTCCATGCACGTTTTTGCTCGTTTGTTGGCATCGCGCTTTGCATTGCCACCCCCGTTTGCCGCTTTCAACTCCTCAATGCAAATTCTGATGCCTTTGTGAATCCACGGCCTGTTTACGGCAGGTCCTTCGAATGGTAAGAACAGAACGTGGAGGTTTGAAATTGTTTAAAGATGTTTAAAGCTAAAGATGCTTCAAGATATTGAAAGTGCGAAGATGCCAGGAGATAGACGTTTCAAGTTTCAATCTTCACTTTATTTTCCGTCCCAATCCCCTCTTTTTTTGGAGGGCGAACTTTGAGCCAAGGATCTTGGATGCTGACGGCAGTGGTGAAATATCCTTCGAAGAATTTGTCTCGGGGTGTATGCAGCTACAAGGACCCGCTCAAAGTGTTCAGCTTGCACGAATGCGCTATGAGAACAAGGTCATGCGCCAGGAACTTCGTCATGTAGGCAGGGAGCAGCTAAGACAGCTGTACAAAGATTTGATTCTATTCGGGCTTTGTCATGTTCAACCCAACATTCAGGGAACTTGTAGTTTTCTGGTACTTGCAGGTTTCATTGTGCTGAATGATGGTTTCATTGTTACTTACCCATTTTTGAACTATAGACACTATTATTAACCTGCAACAGATCGGATGCAAAGTCTTGCAAACTAACTGTGTGGGTGAGGATTCAAAGCGAGCAGTGTTAAACCTTGACAGGCCATGGACTTCAAAAATTGGAGTCTATAGTGGCATTGCACTATGGAACTTAGTCATCTCAGTCGGTCCCTGACTCTCTGGATTTGTTCTCACAAGAGGTCATGCCAAGTTCAGAAATGAATGGTGTAGCTGAAGATGTGAAGGCTTTGCTTTGACTTCTCTGCATACACTTCGCGTCGAAGAAAAAAAATTGCGCCGCCGTAATAACCCCATTCTATCTCCAAGATCTACGCAAAAACGAGCGATTTTTCTGGGATTGGTGTTGGATGACGCTTGAAGATGTCCAGGTATGGCAAAAGTTTGGGAACCTACAGAAACTTTGCGACCCGACACGGGGAAGGCCATGGGGGTGCCGGCAAATTGAAAGGCCCATTGGTTTCCTATCTTTAGGTAGTGGAGCATTGTTGGCAGATTTTGGAGATCCCCAAGAAGCTGATGTATGTTTGTTTCTGGTCCATTTTGATTGAGGCAAGTAATTGATTTGTTTCAAGCTGAGAACGGACGAAAAACCCTCATGAGACATTGGCACTTGGCCAGTTTTGCAAGCCTTACTTTTCGGTGATCAAACATGGTTGGTGGGGAAATCCATCATAAATATCCATAACTGGGCAATTTAAGTTGAACAATCATCGAAAGAAATGGACGATGTTCGAACTGGTTTTGCGGCAAACTGCCTCCGGCAGGCAGCGACGATTTCCCTTCAGCG